AGTTAATCCAGCTGTTACACCAGTTGTAGATTGACTCGTGGAAATTGAGCTAGAAGTAGTTAGTCCAGTTGTCAATCCAACAATCGAATTTGAGGTAGTTAATCCACCAATTGATTGACCCAATGAATTTAATGATGTTAAACCTAATGTATTTGAAGTCGTTACACCTGCTATTGATTGACCACCATCGATTGTGTTAGCAGTGGTTAAACCTGCTACAGAGTTTGCACCTGAAATGAAACCAATTGATGCACCAGTTGTAGTTAATACACCAACACTTTGACCTGTTACTATTGTACTTGAAGTTGTTAATCCAGTTGTTGATTGACCTGTTGCAATTGAGCTCGCAGTAGTTAATCCAGCTGTTAAACCAATTGTTGATTGACCTGTTGCAATTGAGCTAGAAGTAGTTAATCCAGCTGTTACACCAGTTGTTGATTGACCCGTTGCAATTGAGCTAGAAGTAGTTAATCCAGCTGTTACACCAATTGTTGATTGACCTGTCGCAATTGAGCTAGAAGTAGTTAATCCAGCTGTAACACCAGTTGTTGATTGACCTGTCGCAATTGAGCTAGCAGTAGTTAATCCAGCTGTCACGCCAGTTGTTGATTGACCTGTAGCAATTGAGCTAGAAGTAGTTAATCCAGTTGTTGATTGACCTGTAGCAATTGAAGTTGTTAATCCAGTTGTTGATTGACCTGTCGCAATTGAGCTAGAAGTAGATAGTCCAGCTGTAACACCAGTTGTTGATTGACCTGTTGCAATTGAGCTAGAAGTAGTTAATCCAGCTGTTACACCAGTTGTTGATTGACCCGTTGCAATTGAGCTAGAAGTAGTTAGTCCAGTTGTCAATCCAACAATCGAATTTGAGGTAGTTAATCCACCAATTGATTGACCCAATGAATTTAATGATGTTAAACCTATAGAATTTGAAGTTGTTACACCTGCTACTGATTGACCACCATCGACTGTATTTGAAGTTGTATATCCACCAATAGATTGACTTATTGAATTTCCATTTGATAGCCCTGTAGTTAAACCTGTAATTGAGGTTACAGCGGTAAGACCTCCGACTGACTGACCCACAGAAGCTCCAATAGTGTTACTTGTTGTGAGACCTCCTATTGTTAACCCAATTGATGAAAAACCAGTTGTAAACCCAATTGATGAGTGGTCTGTTGTAGTTTTTCCTGTTGAAGGACCTTCGGTAGTACTATAGGATGTGTTTTCACTCTGTGAAGAACCTTGACTTGAACTTTGATTTGAGTTATGGCTTGATGATCCTGTGGAACTATTGGTTTCCGAAGAACTACTACCCATGCTATTAGAACTATTACTTGACCCATTAGAACTTTGATTTGAAGAACCATTTCCATTTGATTCATTGGAACTATTCGAATTGCTACTTGAGTTATTTGATGAACTATTACCAGATTCACTTGAGTTAGTATTACTGGAATCTGATTTTGAATTACTACTAGATTTTGATTCAGAGCTATTACCACTGGAATTTGATCCATTACTAGAGTTACTAGATGAGTTGCTTCCATTTGAACCTGATCCACTTGAGTTGGTACTACCACCAGTTGAGCTATTTGATCCATTGCTAGACTCATTGGAACTAGATTCACTTGAGATGGAGTTACTACTATTAGAGTTTGATCCATTACTACCACTGGAACCAGACTCACTTGATATGGAGTTACTATTATTAGAGTTTGATCCATTACTACCACTGGAACCAGACTGACTTGAGCCGGTGCTATTACCACTGGAATTTGATCCATTACTAGAGTTACTAGATGAGTTGCTTCCATTTGAACCTGATCCACTTGAGTTGGTACTACCACCAGTTGAGCTATTTGATCCATTGCTAGACTCATTGGAACTAGATTCACTTGAGATGGAGTTACTACTATTAGAGTTTGATCCATTACTGGATGAGTTGCTTCCATTAGAACTTGATCCACTTGAGTTGGCACTACCATTTGAGCTATTTGATCCATTACTAGACTGATTGGAACTAGATTCACTTGATATGGAGTTACTACTATTAGAGTTTGATCCATTACTAGATATACTGGATGAGTCACCTCCGTTAGAACCTGATGAGTTGCTTCCATTTGAACCTGATCCACTTGAGTTGGAGCTACTACCAGTTGAGTTACTTGATCCATTGCTCGATTCATTGGAACTAGATTCACTTGAGATGGAGCTACTACTATTAGAGTTTGATCCATTACTACCACTGGAACCAGACTCACTTGAGCTGGTGTTACTATTTGAGTTTGATCCATTGCTTGATTCACTAGATGAACTGAAGCTTCCACTAGAGTTTGAGCCATTTCTAGATCCTTTAGATGAACTATTGCTACCGGAACCAGACTCACTTGAGCTACTATTAGAGCTTGACCCATTACTTGATCCTTTAGATGAACTATTGCTATTGGAACCAGACTCACTTGAGCTACCATTTGAGTTTGATTCATTACTTGAACTTGATCCTGAATTACTAGAATTTGATTCTGAGCTATTAACACTTGAAGTTGATTCATTACCAGAACTTGATTTAGAACCACTCGAGTTATTATTGGATCCACTTGAACCAGAACTATTATTAGAGCTTGAACCATTACTACCAGAACTGTTTGAACTGTTACTTGAGTTTGATGAATTACTATTGGAGTTATTTGAATTATTACTTGAGTTTGATGATCCATTACTGGAATTATTCGAGGAGTTGCTGCCACTAGAATGTGGTTCATTGGAACTTGTATTACCACTGCTCGAACTATTTGTATCGCTACTGGCACTTGATTTGCTATTAGAACCATTTCTGCTAGAACTTTGATCAGATGATCCAGTACTAGAACTATTATTTGAAGAACTATTTGAATCACTACTATTATTATTTTTACTATTGCTGTTGTTTGAATTTGATCCACTACTAGAATTGTGTGATGATCCATTACTAGAGCTATTATTTGAAGAATTATTTGAATCACTACTATTACTATTGCTATTTGATGAACTATTTTCAATAGAGCTATGGTTTGACTCACTGGATGAGTCATTACCTGAACCATTTGATGATGATATTGAACCACTTGAACTATGACCACCACTGCTATTATGTTCGCTAGAATTTGTTTCATTATGATGATCACAACATTCACAAATTGGTATATGGTTGGGATCAGGCTTAGGGCATTGGAAAATAGAATAAAAGACATATTGAGAATCAGCAAGTGTTGAAAATGATATATCGATTGTTGAAACTTCATTGAGAGGTGCTAATATTTGGTAATTTATATATTTTGGGTTTTTCATACTTGTAATTAAAACTTTATTATTATTTGAAGAGAAGTTTATATTGGGTCTTTCTGATTTTTTTATGTGCCCTTTTTTATTTACATTCGAAGTGCCATTATAATGATTGTGTGATAAAGTACCTTGAGCAAAATTTACCCATTCTTTCTTCATATTCATTGGGACTATTCTTTTTCCAATTCCATTTAAATTATTTGTGTGTAATTTTGTTGCAGAAATTGAAATTAAATCAGCTTCATCGATTGAAGCTATTAATAAACAAAACTTATCTGTTGGCAAAGGAAATATAAATTTGAACTCGGATGTTACATTTTTACAACATGCAGCGCCTGATGTATGGGTCAATACCATTAAATCTTTATGATTTAAAAGATTTGATAAAAAACTATCGTTGAATTGTTTTCCTTGTACTATTACATTTCCCATATAAAACCCTGAATTTGTTGTTGATTCCAATGTAACTGTTGGTATACTTGTATCTGTCCATGGGATAGCATATAACCCTGGTGCAAAAACTTGTGAAAAATCTAATTGCGATATATGACTTTTATTGAAATCATTTTTTATATCTATTTGTTTGTTTATATCTTTTAATTCATTTGATAAAACTTTTGTTAAAAAAATAAATAAAAAAAACACGATAAATTTTAACTTCATTTTTAATCTTTAAAAATTAATTAAAATTTATTTGTTTTTTTTTTTATAAAACCTAATAACAAAAGAAATACAATTATTAGTAAAACTAAAATGTTGTGGCTCAAAAATAAGGATAAAACTTACCAATAGTTGTAAAATGCTTGTTTTTGGTTTGTTTTTTTTTTTTTTTTTTTTCCTTTTTTTTTTTTTTTTCCAATTGTCTAAATACTATAATAAGGTGTTAGCATAAAGAACCAAAGCTCTATTTTTGTACAATTAATTAACTTACAAACTATATATTTTATATTAATTTATACAAAAAATAAACACCAATATGATATCTGTTATTTTTGAAAAATATACAAATATATTATTAATAAATTTTAAATTAAAATTAAAATTAATTTTTTTCTTTGTTAAAAAAAAATAAATAAAAAAATAAATTCATTATTAATAATAACATGAATTTGATCATTTTTTTCAAAGATAGTAAAAGTTAACTTTTTTTAATATATAAATATTTTAATAATAATAATTATTATTGTTATTTTCACATTGAAGATAAAAATAGTATACCCACATACAAAAAGAAAAAAAAGTTTAAACTCCTATTAAACAATCTCATTAATAATGACTATAACAACACAAAAAACATTAATACTTGAATGAGAATCACACAATTAAACACACCTTAGATTCACCCACTTTAAAAAAACTCACTGTATGATTAATTTTAAAAAAAAAATTCATTTTTAATACCATACCCACAATTTTACCCCACTTAAAACTTTAAACTCTAAAGTATTCATATCATTTTTTTTAATTTACAAATATTAGCTCCCACACACACCCAAAAACACAACACAATAATATTTGAAATAGGTGGGGTATATACACCTTATATTTACAAATATTTTTTCCATTTTCAAATTATTAGCAGTGATCATTATCGTATGAAAAAATACAAATAAAAAAAATTATTGTTATTATATTGTTGGTATTATCTTTATTTAGTTTTTTCATTTTTTTTTTTTATAAAATATTTATTTATCTGTATATATAACTATATTGTACAAAAAAAACAAGAACTTTGTAATAATAAAAATTCTTTGTACACAAAATAATTTTTTAAATTATTATTGCTATTTAATTTATATATTATTATTTTTATTATTATTATTATTATAATGTTGTTGTTGTTATTGTATTTTTTTTTTTTTTTACATTGGTGGTGGTGGTGGCATACCAAATGGTGGTGGTGGGGCGAAATCATCAATAGATGAGTTATCGTAGTCCTAAATAAATATTAAATAATAATTAGTAATTTATTTTTTTGGGTTCGCAATATTTTACAAAAAAATATGAATGTCGTTTGATAATTTAAAATTAAATATGATTATTATATATAATTATTGTCATTATTGTTATTATCATTATTATTATTATTATTGCTATTTTTATTATTATTATTGTTATTATCATTATTGTTATTATTATTATTATTTATTATTATTTATTATTTTTATTATTTTTATTATTTTTATTATTATTATTAAATATTTCTATAAATAAATAGTTTAAAAAAATAGATAAAATAAATAGATTATATGCTTACCATTGATGATGGTGGTGGTGGTGGTGGTGGTGGTAAACCACTATTTGGAGAACTTGATTGAACTGCTGATGGTGGTGGTGGTGGTGGAGATGAAGATTGTTGTGATTGTGGTAATGGTGATGATTCTTCAACGGTTGTAGTTACAATGAATTGTTCGGCTTGCTCGGTAGCTGGTGGAGAAAGAATCATATTTGATGGTGGTGGTGGTGGGCAATAAGTATTTAAAACACTGAAAATTTGATTATTAATATCTTTGATAAGTTGAGCATTTTTGAAAAAGTTTTTGAGAGCTGGTTTATCTGAACGAACAGCAGCAGCTTCTTCAACATTTAAAATATGGTAACAGAAATCAAAGAGTTCAAATCTGTATTGTTGACCAAGGAAATGAATTAAAGAACAACCAGCCCACATTAAACCGTCACCAAATAATTCGTGGAAAGATTTATCATTTTCATTTGATAATGGCCAGCAAATGACAAATTGAAGAGCACTCCATAAACGATAAAATTCGGTACTACTATCAACACAAATAACGCCATTATCTGGGGCTTGACCGCTCCAATCATGACGAACAATACTGAGAATTGATGAGAAACGTTGGAGGAATGATTTAAAGAGTGAGAAATTATTTTCTGATGGACGATAGAATTTATCGGCTCTCCAAGCATTGGCAACGATATCTCTGAGTGATTCGATTGATTTAGCAACCTCTGGTCTATCTTCGAGTAATTGGGCTAATTTTTGAAGTTGAGAATATAATGGTGAGTTAAGAGTTGGGTCTTCGCCTGGTGTTTGATCGCTAAACCATGTTTCTGGGGTAATACCAAGGAATGGAGCAGCTTTACTAAAGTTATAACTATCAGTTTGAATAATAACTTGATCCAAGATATTCATAAATACAATACTATTACCCAATTCTCTGAAAGTTTGTAATACTTCTGGACGAAGATCTGGGTAGGTATAAATATCTTTTAATTTAAGTTGGAAATAACCATAACCACCTTCAGTACCATAATCATAGATTGGTAATTTAGTACTTGCTGGCATACCTTGAAGTAATTCTAAAACATATGGTGAAAGAACATTGGTTGTTTTAATTTCAATATTACGAAGAACTTCGGCAACGACTAATGGTAAATTCTTTTTGGTAACCATACGTAAGAGTGATTGGATATGTGGAACACCAATAAAGTTTTTGTAGAGTTCGATAGAGTTGGCATAGGCAGCATTTAAATATTTATTACCAAATAAAAAGATTGGATTGGTTTTTGGAAGTGCATCTCTTTTAAGTTCCTCTGTGAAAACATGTGGTGCTTTGATGAAACGTTGGGTGACACTGTTGAATGTATAATTTGGTGCAAAGTCAGCAACTAATTCGAAAATGATATGGAGTACAATACGACCATGATATGAAACCAATGAAGTGGATTCATTAACTTCACTGAAAATAGATTCGAATGGATCAAGGTCAAAGTATTCGGCTAAAAGTTTATGGGTGAGTTTGATATTGGTGATTTGGGTTTCTAATTCGACAATTGAGGTTAAATCGCTAGCTTCAAATCTGCTGAGAGCATAATCTAAATTTTGTCTAATAAGAGTGTTTTGTCTTTCGGCAAGTAAACCATTCAAGTTGATAGAACGACCTAATAAAGTGATGTGCTTTTGACGAAGTAAAACATCGAAACGGGCTTTTGGTGAGTGAAGTTTGCCATTGAAATGAGCCAACTCTAATTGAGCTTTGTATGGTTTATCTAAAAGGATTGAAGAAGCTTGAGTTTTGAATTGAGTATAAACTTTACCAGAGAGTTTGTAGAGTAATTGATCAAAGCAAAGATTTAATTCTGCTTCAATTTCATCATAGAGGAAACGTTGGTTTAATTCTTGAAGAGCACGATGAGCAGTATCATTATAGAGACTTAATGGATAGAAAAGATGTTCAAAGAGTGATGGATCGTCACTTTCTAAAATGTGGTCTGTAAGAATCCATGGGAGTGAAGTTTCAATTGGGAATTGAACACGATTATTTAATTCTAAATAGAACTCTCTATACCAGAGATCGGCCAAATCGGTGATGGAGTTGATAGTGCTAGAAAGATTTAAGAGATAACGATAAAAGAAAGCTTTCTCACGGAATTGTTCAAACTCTTGATATTGAGTTGAGCTGAAATCTTTCTTTTTATCCATAAGACTACTGACAAGAGTGCTAATTAATTCGAGTTGAGTTGGTGATGGTGGAACTGCACGAGCTGGGATTTGAACTTTTTCTTCAACTTCTTTTGATTTCTTTGATGGAGCAGCTTCAGCTGGTTCGACGCCATTGAACCAATCGACAGCAATATTCTTTAATTGAGCCATTTCTAACTTGATGTTATCTTTCTTTTTTGGATTGTTCTTATTGAATGATTTAATAGTTTCTTTGAGATTAACTTGGATAAACTCTTGAATTTCATGATGGATATGCTTACGAAGGATTGGTTGAAGTAAGGATTCATATTTTACCATAAGAGTAGCTAATGATTTGATCATAGCAATAAATTGAACTAAAGCAGTTCTTTCGTCCTTGGTGTAATTAAATTTGACTACACGTTCATAATCGAAAGCTGCTGAAATATTTGGATCATTGTTTGGTCTTGAATATTTCCAAGCACTTTGTTGAAGTACTTTTGAACTCCAATCAGAGAGAGCACGAAGACCAACCAATGTGATATGTTCAATATCATTATCGGAAATTGGTAAAGGTTCTTTTGGACCACGAGCTTTGGCTGCTTTGATTTCATTGATCATATTTGCGAAACGAGCCATATAGTCATTGTAGAATGAACGAGTTTGATCTAAAACATGAATGATTTCATAGTCAAGAGCAGATTTTGAATCCAAGGTTGTGGTACCCCAAGCTTTTTCATCAAAGTGTGGAGAACGTTTAACTAATGATTCGAGTGTAATTTGCATATCACCATAGAGTGGAACAACTGGATGCTTCTTAAAGATTTTAGCGTAACGAGAGATGTTGAGATTCTTATTTTTATTGATATTGTGTTTGCTGTCATTTTCATCAATTAAAAACAATGCGAATGGCATAACTCTAAGTAAACAATGTTTTTCTGATGGTAAAATAAACTTGTCTTGTTCTAAATAATCAGCACATTGATTGACAATGGTTGGTAAAACCTCATTTCCAATATTGTGTAATTCAAGTTTTAATGATGATGTAATTGAATTTTGATTTGCTAAAAATAAATATAATGTATGATTTTCTTGAGTTTGATCTTCTGTACCTGACATTTGTTTTCTTAAAAATCCAGTAGCTCTATAATTTTTAAAAAAAAAAAAAAAAAAGAAAAAAAAAAAATTAATATTTATATTTTTCAATGAACCAAATAATTAAATTACATACCTTTTAAAGAAAGAAAAATCATTATTTAAACAAGCTTTCATATTTTTTAATGCATCTAAAATTGCTAATAAATCTAATATACGAATTAAATAATTTATAAATGATTCCGATGCAACGATGGTCTCTTTCTTTTTATCATAGGAAGCAGCTAATTTCTTGACATGATCACAAAATAATTTGATTGTATCTTTTTGGAAATACATAAAATCCTTTAATTTTTTAATTTCTGGTTCTAATACTTCAAAGGTACCTTCATAAATTTGAGTTTTGTTTGCTTGATCAGCAGTTTTAACAGTTGGTAATGCTTTTGAACATGAACGATATGTATAAACCATATTGATAAATTGATCACCCATCTTTAAAACTTCCTCCATCTTTTCCATAGCTATAGTTTCCTCTGACCATGTTTGAGTTTCGTATGCTCCACGATCTGCATAGTTTAATGAACTGTCGTATGTTTCATATCCTATAGTTGTTGATGGTGCTTCGATTTCTGATTGGTCATCAAAAATTGGAAAACTTTCTAAAACATCACATCTTTCAAAAACATCGGCAATTTTACTTTGTTTTGGATCAACTGACATTTTATTATTATTATTATTATTGTTATTATTATGTTACAAAAAAAAAAAAAAAAAAGGTGAATTAAATTTTATCTGTGTGGAAAATAAAAAACTATATTTATTTGATATTTTTAATTTTCTATTTTGGTATTTTTTTTTTTTTTTTTATATATTACAATTTTATTATTTAATTTTTTTATTTCTTTATCTCTACAACAACTATAAAAAAAAAAAAAATATCTGTATGAGAGAGCTGAATAATATTATTATATTGAAAAAAAATTAAAAAAAAATTAAAAAAAAAAAAAAAATTAAAAAAAATCAATAAAAAAAAATTTTAAAAAAAAAAATAAAAAAAAAAAATTTTAAAAAAAAAAAAATAATTTTATTTTAAAAATCTTTAATTGATTTCGATTGTGTGTGGTTAATTACCACATGTATGCAATCATATAAAAAAATAAAATCAATCAGGTAATACCTATTTTTTGAATGAATAAAGAGTATCTAAAATAATAATAAAAAATAAAAAAATAAAAAAAAATAAAAGTAAAACTAAAAAAAAAAAAAAATAATACCAAATGGGTTAAAATTTTTTTTTTTTTTTTTTAATTTTATTTGTTTATCATATTTAATTCCTTTTATAATTTTTCAACAGTTTCAACACCCAACAAGTTCAAACCGGTCGATAAAATTCTTTGAGTAGCATAACAAATCAATAGTTTTTGGTTTTGTCTTTCTGATCCAATGAATTTTTCAGATTCGTAGAGTTGGTGGAAACTATTTGCAATTTCCCAAAGATAATCACAAATTAAACCAGGTCTTAAATTTTGCTCGGTTGATTTCAAAACATCGCTAAATCTGGAAAATAAAAATATTAAATTTCTTTCTTTTTCTGTTAGATTTGTAAAATCGATTTCACTGAATAAAATAAAATAAAGTAAAATAAAATAAAATAAAATAAAATAAAATAAAATAAAATAAAATAAAATAAAATAAAGTTAGTTGATATTCTAAACTTTAAAGTTTTTTTTTTTTTTTTGCAATCATTGTTATAATCAAATACTTACTTTAAATTTATTTGATCTATATTAAAATTGGCTCTTTTGAAAAGTGTAGAAATACGGGTATAACAGTATAAGATGTAGATACTAGTGTTTCCTTTAAATGATAGCATATTGTCGTATGAGAAAATGTAAGAGTTGTTTCTGTGGGTCAAGTCGAAGTATTTTAAAGCACCAAGACCAATTTTTTGAAAGTGGTCATCTGTTACATCATCTAAAGTTTCATCAGAGTCCAAATAACGTGGAACGGTGATATCTCTTGCATTTTGATCGGAGTCGATCTTTTCTGCACGTGTAAATGATTTTGAAATTGATGTTGCTTGTTTAGCTCTTTCGATTGATTCGTGTAAGAGATCGATTAATGCTACAGGTGATCCATCACGAGATGATAGTTTGGAACCATTTGATCCACGTACAACACCGAATGATAAATGATCAACACGGGTCTTCTCTAAATCTAACCATTTTGCATTTTCCGCAATTTTAAATATTTGTTCGAAATGATCACTTTGTGAATCGTCAGTGATGTATACAATCCATTGTTTATCATTTTCTACACGATGCTTGATTGCTGCTAAATCTGTAGTGGCATAGAGATATGCACCGTCACTCTTTTGAACGATAACTGGTGTTTTATCTTCACCAAATAAAAATATGCATTTTCTTCCCTCTGAAAGCTTGACAAATCCTTTTTCAGTGAGTTCATCAATTACTTTGGGTAGCATTTCTCTATAGAACGATTCACCTCTTTCATTGACATTAATGTTCATCATGTCGAAAACTTGATTAAAACCTATTCTACTTGCGTCGCACAATGCAATCCAAGCATTATATATATCTGGATCACTACCACCCCCATCTGGAGTGGGTGGTCCTTTTTGAAGCTCAGCAGCAGATGCCAATGTACGTTTATTAAATTCTGGGTCTGTTTTGGTTCTGGCTTTCGATTCGCTATAAATATCTGATAGTTCTTTTGGTGTTGGTATGATGATTTCACCTTTGTATTCTTTATCCCATATATGTCTGAGGAATGGTTGTTTGGTTTCTAATGAATGTGCTATAACTATTCCCATTGGTGTACCAAAATCGCCTGCATGACTAATACGCTCTACATCATGGCCCATATATTCTAAAATTCTACACACTGATTCGCCCAATGCAATCGATCTTAAATGACCAACATGCAATTCCTTCGACATGTTTGGGGATGCGAAATCTACCAATACCTTTTTGCTTCTAAGTGGTAGCATTTTATTGTTGTCGTCTGTTTTGTTGTTTTCGTTATATATCAGATTTTTTATCTTGAACTTGTCAGCTTCGGCACCCTTTCCTTCATGGCCTTTGATCCATAGATTTAAAATATCTAATAAATACTCTTCTGAAACCCTAAGATTTAAATACCCTTTTGAGCCAATCTCAATCTTTTCTATCATTTCTGAAAATTCAAATTCCTTCTTTTTCGACTCGAATGTATCTATAATTTTCTTTGAAATATAGTCATTGTTTTTATCTTTCTTGTTTAATAACATTGAAGCTACAACTAAATTATTGATTGCATAGTCAAAATCTGATACTATTTTTTTTGATGGCACTTGTGAAAACTGGGGTTGGAATTTAATTTTTTTATTGTTGAATACCATTTCCTTTTCTTCTTGAGTTAGAGCTTTGTCAAAAATTCCTTTAAAACATGAATGTAATAATAAGTAGGGTGATCTATTATATAAATCGAACCATTTTTTATCTCTATTAAATTGGGTGATTGTTGAATAGTAAAAATAAAGACTATTATTATTATTATTATTAAATATATTTTTATTATTATTAAATAAACTAGTATTTATAAAAGTTTTATTAATTATTATAGAGTTTTTAATCATTTTTAATTATTATTTATTATAATCATTATAACTATGACAATGACAAAAATGCAATTAAAAAATTTTTAAAAAAAATAAAAAAAAAACGCAAAAAATAATTTTTTAGATTTTTTTTTTTTTTTTTTAAAATTTAATAATTTTTAAATATTTTTTTTATACTTTTTACAAATTAATTAATATCTAAAAATTTCTATATTATAAATAAAAGCTTATTCATGGGTTTTTATAATAAAATAAAAATATTTTTTTTAATTTATGAAATATAATAAATTTTATTTGAAAAAAATAAACAAAAACCCCCAATATAGACTAAAATCTTTTTTCATCAAAAAAGCCTGGATGGCTCAGTAGGCAGAGCGAGCGGCTGTTAACCGCTAGGTCCATGGTTCGATCCCATGTCTAGGCGATTTTTTGGTAATGGATATCTTCCGGGAGTTTTTAATTTTCTTAAATTTTCCTGTTCCCAGTCTCGCAGGTTTTCAAAATAAACCCAGTCTCAGCAGGTTTTCCCATCATCCATATTCGTCACTTCAGGAAGAAACCTCACACATTCACAATAAATAAAAATAGTATATCATTAAAACATACAAAATCCCAGAAGGTCGCAAATCCGATGGAGAAATAAATATGGATTACAACAACACCAGATTCCACAAATCACACTTCCAATGGAACTATAAAGCAATAGATTTCGACTTAACTAGATGGTTCGCATATAGAAATGCCATAGCCCTGGTATTTCATCAAGTTTGGATTTGGTTATGTAAAGAATTATATGACGATCAAGAAAATACAATAAAAGAACTCGATTATAAGAATCTAACCTCAAAATGGACTAAACTAGCTACTATAGAATACTTAAAAGGTTTAAAAAACATCAAGGAAAGACACGCTAAACAACCACAAACAATTAGCAACATCAATGAAGAATATAGAAAATTCAAAAGAAGAATAGCAAGAGCATACTTCATCAGCATCAAATCTTTACCAAATATCAACAGTTTAGAATATTTTCTTTAAAAACTTTATAAAAAAAACATTAAATAAAATTTTACTGATTAATTTAAAGCATTTGCTTTTAATTATCTTCACTTTTAAAAAAAAAAAAAAAAAAAAAAAAAAAAAAATCATTAAAAATCATTTTTACTTTTAAATTTTAAAAAAAAAGTTTATTACAATATATAAGGTACCTTAAAAAACTAATCATTAAAACTTTAAATATTTACCCTTTAAAAAAAAAAGTAAGGTACCTTGGTTTATTTAATTGAAAATAAATTATTATCTTTTGAAAAATTAATAATTCTTTCAATACTATCATTTGGGACTGATATTGATGTTGTAATTGTTTTGTTATTGTTTTTATCAATATCAAAAGAAAGATAATTGGTTGCATCTCTTGCACGACAAAATGTTTTTAAAGCAAATGGAGTTGAGCTGCCAAACTGAATTTTATTATAATCTAGAGAGTTCCAATTTGAAATATTTGTTCCATAGATAGTTGGAATAAAATAACCATAGTTATCTAATGAGTGAATATAGTTAAACCAGCTAATATCATTTTTAAAATGATCAATAGTTATACTATTAACACTTTTTCTGTTTATTTTTGAAAGTTCAATAATATTCATTTTTCTGATTTCCCCAACTTTTAACGAAATTCCATTATATCTAAATATATTACCCATAATTTCTTCACCAATGTTACCATGTTTTCTAACGCTTGAAATATATTTTAAATTAAAATCTTGATTTTCATTTAAATGAGATGAAAAAGTATACAGTTTAAATATTATACCAATTATTATATCATTTTTTGAAAGTGTTGTTTCATTTGATTCTTTTTTAAAATTATCGATTTCCCTTAAATTGAAATTTAAAAATAAAATAGAGTTTTTTTCAAAGATATTATTATCTTGTGCTTTTTCTTTATAATAGAATCCAAGTTTTTTTGCATATTCATGAGCCTCATTTGTATCTGCAAATTGAAATTCTTTATTTTCATAGCTTTTATAATCAATAAACTCTGGTTTTTTTAGTTTTAAATGTTCTCTTCCGAATGAATAAAGTTGAGATAAATATTTAAAATAATAATAAATTCCAGTTTGATCTATACAAGCATGATTTATATTATAACCAATACAAAAACCATTTTCAAAAATTGATAGTTTGAATGCGGCCATTTTTAAACCATCTAAATGTAAACTAATACCAGATTCTTGAATGGGACATATCGTTTTTAAAGTTGGAACAAGGTTTTCAACTTTACTATAACTGTTTTCAATTAGATCTAGTGGTCTATCTTCAATCTCCAATACCTGTTTATATTCATTCTCTTTATAACATATGAAGATATCATTGTTATTATCTTTTTTAAAAGTAGTTAAAAACATTTCAAAGTCTTTAAACGACTCATTTAATGCTAAAATAAATTTATTTAAATCTATTTTTCCTTTAAAACAAAAACTACACCTTATAAACATTGGTGCCGAAAATAAATCATTGGGATGTAATTTTTTTACCCATTTTTTATTTCTTGTTTTAAACTTTACTGTATTATCATCTGATTCAATAATGAAATCTTCCATTGGCGCAATAAAACTAAAAAACTAAAAAATTAAATAAAATTTTTTTTTAATTTTTTTTTTAAAAAATTATTTTCTAATGATTTCTTTGCTTCTTTTTATTTTTATTAATATTACTGTTTTTATTAGTATTTTCATTTATTTTATCACTATTATTATTATTATTATTATTATTATTATTAGTTGTATTATTTATTGGTGATGCTTTTTGAGTATCCAGCGATTTTCTCTTTAAATTTTTTTTTTTTTTTTATAAAAAATTATTTAATCAAATAAAAGTAATTTGGTAGTTTGGATGCACATTGTATTTGATAAAATTCAATATATTTTTAGCAATCAGTAGCTTTGTAATAAAAGATGAATAGCATTGAGTGCCCAATTTTGAAATACTGTTTGTGCAGTAATAAAAGTCACCACATATCCAATAAAAAAGAGCAGACTATAAGGTAAAAAAAAAAATTTGGAACTTTCTTCATTAACCAGGATTTGAAGAGCAACAATCCATAATTTTTTTTACGGTTTTTTTTTTTTTTAAGTCTTAAACCCCCTTTTAATAAAAAAAAAAAAATTTTAAAAATAAATATTCAAAAAATAATTAAAAATATCTTAAAATTATGATAATAAATTTATTTTTAAGTTTTTATTTATTTATATTTTTTTTATTTTATATTGTTAAAAAAAAAAAATTTTACCATTGTTTTTTACATACCCTATATTGATAACAACAAAAATTATTATATAAAAAAAAAAATTATATTTTAACTTTTTTTTTTTTAAAACTTTATTTTTATTAATTAAATAAGATTAAATTGAATATAAAATGCAAGAGCCAAATGGACAATCAACAGCACCTGGATACAACCATCCAGTAAATCCAGCACAACAAGAATATGCAGCTCAACCACCACAAGCCTATCCTCAATATTCAGGTCCCCCAACTCAACCAAACCAAGCTTATTACCCATCACCAACTCAACAACAACCAGTATATGGTGCACCACCAACTCAACCACAACCAGTATATGTTACCGCCCCCCCACCAGTCACTGTTGCCAAAGCAAATGACCCATCAGTAGATCAAGGTGCTGTTAATTCAGCATTATTGATCTTTGTTTGTGGTTTCTTTTGTACTGTATTATGGCTTGCTGGCTTTGCTTACATTCGTCATAAAAACAAAACTGCACGTGTTTATGGTATTTTATCAGTATGTTTCTTCTTTGCTGTTCTTGTAATTGTTATTATTGCTATTGCTGTTGTTGTAGGAACTGCGAATACTCACAGTGACTATTAGAAAAAGAGAATACATTATTTGTAAAATGCTGCTTTAATGTATGCATTGCACCAAAAATATTTAGACAATAAAAAAACAGATAATTTTTTTTAAAAAGAGATAATTTTTTCTAAAAATTTTTTAATATCTTTTTTGTTACCCGAATTTTTTTTTTTTTTTTTATATTTTTTTTTTTTGTATAATTTTTTTAATCTTACTATTTATTATTATTTTTTTACTTAATAAATAAATAAAAAAAAAATAAAAAAAATGAAAATAAAAAGTATATTAATTTTTGTGTTTATAATTGTTTTAACATTATTCATTAGTGGAGGTTATCTTTATTTATTGGTAACATTTTATAAAAAAATTATTTTAAATTAAAAAGGAAATTTTTAAAATTATATAAACTTTAAACAATATATACACACACATACTATTTACCTGAATATATGCCTTCATATAAAATCTAACATCAAAATCAAATTTTCAAATATAAAATAAGAAGACCTCAAACATAATACAATTCAATTGTTAAGAGATATATATTTAACCAATCGAAAACACACATATATAAAACAATTATAAATGTAGAAAAACCTCAATTTCAATTTTTGAAAGGTCTTATGTTAATTTATAATATTAAGTAATAATATTAAACAAAAAGATAATACCCAATATATTTATATTTTTAAAAATAATAATAGAATTAAAAATTATTTTGTAAAATAAATTTTTAAAAATGAATAAAAAAAAACATATAAAAAAATAAAATTTTTTTTACAATATACAGTGTTTTTTATTAAATTAAATTAATCTATAAAAAGTTTATGAATACGATCTAGTTATCAATATTCATTTTATTTAATCTTGTATAAACCATTTGACCTAGAACCATTTCTAATCTCTCGATTTCTTCTTCAGATTGGTACAAAAGTGATTCTATAGCTTGCTTCTTAAAATATCTGAATTCATTTTTTTTTCTTATTTCCTCTAATTCTTTTTCCTTTTCTTCATTTTTTTTGGCTATGATTTCGAGTTGAAAGTTTATAACATCTATATCATGTTCAAGAATTTCTAATTGCTTTTCATGTTCTTTTCTTATTTCTTTACAATTGGATTTTTCAATTTCAAGAGTGGTTTCTTCGATTTCATAATCCTCTTGAGCGTTTTCAAAGGATTGTTCCGATTCTTCAATTTCTTCTTGCATTTTTCTTAGTGATATGGCATGGATTTCTCTGGCACTATCTTTTTCTTTTAATAAATATAACTTTTCAATTATTTCTTCTTTTGAATCCTTAATTTCATTTTCTAATATAGAAATTTCCATTTGTTCTTCATAATAATATGGTCTTTTATTTCCAGTATTGATATTTTGAATTTTTATTTCCTTATCAATAATTTCTTCTTTGGTTTCTTCAATTTCCTTTTCATAATCATTGGCAAGTTTTTCGTTGATTATTTCATCTATTGTTCTTGGATCAACAGTTGGGATGGCTCTTATCTTTTTATTTCTTTGTTCCATATTTGAATATAATTTATTTTGTATATCTGTAATTACAAAATTTTTTTTTTTTTAAAAGTTATTAATATTTGTAATAAATTTTTTATTTTTTGTTTATTAATACTACTTACATGAATAATGTTAAAAGAAGGTCTATGTGGGTGAATTAAAAATAAAAATAAAAAAAAAATTTTTTTTTTAAATTTAAAAATTTTTTATTTTAAAAATTATTTTTTAGGTATGAAGGAATTTGTACCACACACCCCACACTATAAACCATTGCGTAGTACAATGATATGGGATTAATGTTTTTTTTTTTTTAAAAAAAATTTTAAATTTTATTTATATTACTTGAACTTCATAATGTAAATGAGACCGCTATATTTTTAATAAACATATAAATCTTTATTAATTTTTTATTTTTAATTTAATAAAATATAATGACAATATGATAAGCAAAATGATTAAAAATGATTATAAACTCCAATTATCGTTAGCGTGTTTAATAAACATTTTTCAAAAAAAAATTATTGATTTTTATCCATTTTTAAAATTTGCCAATAGATCTAAAATAACAGTTCATATAGGAAAATAATAATTTGTTTCTTTTCCTTCTTTTTTTTTTTTTTAAATTTTCTGCATTTTTAACCAATATTTTAATAGTCATTACTATTTTAAGATTAAAACATTGAATTAATTTTATATTTAAATTATTATTTTATATTTTATATTTTCGATAAAATATAAATAAAATCATAATTCCTGTTGCAATATACACTTGAACTAACCCCATTAATTCACTTCTTAAAACACTGCTTGACTAATTACTTTAACCACAACTTTAACTAACATCTAACTGAATCTTATTTATAAATATTATTTAGGTTATTTGTGTATAGGGCTTTTGCAAATTATTTGATACAAACTAATTATTTAATTATTTTTTCCTTGTTTCTATAAATTTATATGTGTTCGTTATTAAAAAAAAAGTTTTAAATAATTTAACAGTGATTATAGACATTTAAAAATATTTCCAGTATTGTTTTATTAATTACATCCGCCATCGTTTATATTACTTAATTATTTATGTATGTGTATATTTTAATTATTAAAAAATAATTAAAAAATTTAAAAAAAAATTTTTAAATAAATTTATAAATAGGTGTCACTGTAACTATTTTTTTTATTTATTTCAATGATACCATAAGTCAAGTATTTATTTATTGTTTTTTTATAGTTTTTAGTATGTGTTTTATACTTGTATAGATTTACCACCCTTTATGAGTAATATCGATTCGTGTGATTTTGCAGCATAGCAAAAATGTTCCCTAATGTTATTTTCTTCATAACATTTTTTAACAGCAGTTATCCTATGGACAGAGCAGTTTTCTTGAAAAAGAGTGACTTTATCTAAATCAAGTTGATAGTCTTCTAATGTTTCCTTATATACATCCCCCTTTACATTTATGTAGGTCTCGCCATCCTTGCTACTATTAATAAAGGAACCACAACCAACCCCGTGCCAATTAACGCAACCTGAAAAATTTGTTGAAATTTCAGATGACCTCTTTCTTTTTAAAATGTTTTCTTCCTTCCATCAACTACATTGAACCCATCTTTTTTATCCAAAATAAAATTTTTTTATATTATATTTTAGATTAATGGTGATGTACGAAATAAAGAGGTGCGAATATAAGCATCAACACATGTGAAAAATAGCACCATAATATTAGATTTATCAATATGGTTTTGTGAAGGTTTTTGAAAAGGATAATAAAAATATTATAATTAATAAAATTCAAAATTTAAAAAAAAAATTTTAAAAAAAAAGTGATGATTTTAATTAAAAAAAAATAAAAAAAATAAAATTTTTAAAAAAAATAAAAAAAATAAAAAAATTAATTTGTAAATTCTAAAAAATGAATAAAAATGAACTATTTTTTTTAAAAAAAGAGATAATTTTTTCTAAAAATTTTTAAATGGATAATTATTCTTTTTTTCCAATTAAATCTATTGGATTTAATAAGTAAAAATTTAAGAAAACCTATTTTTTTGAACTTATTTATTATCATATCTATTATCTATTAAAAAAAATTATTTTTATTATTATAAATCTGTTTGGATTTTAAAAAAAATATAAATAAATACAAATAATATTTTCCAAACTAACCGCACCCCAAGTAAAATTAACAATAATTATTATTATTAGGTGGGAGCACAAAAAAAAAAAAACAAAAACAACCCACAATAATTATTTATATTATAACATCATAATGAAGATATAAAAAAAAAAAAATATCGATCAATAAAATACTATATTAATTTAATTTATTTTTTATATGAATATTTAATTCAATATTATTTTTTATTTTTTATTTTATTTTAAAATTTTTTTGTATAAATATTTAATTCTATAAAATATTATATTATTTCTCTAAGTTTACTTTATATCATCATTCCACCACCATACAAATTTTAAAAATGAGTTCAGGTTAGTAAAATAAAATAAAATATATTAATAGTAAAATAAAAATATTAATATTAATAAATATAAATTTAATAAATATAATATTTTATATGTATATTTATATTAAATAAAATAAAAAATAATTAACATACATTCAAATATATAAATATATTATATAATATATAAAATATATTATATAATATATAAAATATATTATATTATATAAAATTTTTATTAAAACAAAATAATTAATTTAAATTTCTTTAATAGACAATAGAAAAAATAAATTGCATCAATACTTTTTTGATCAAACTACCAAATTTGATGTTAAGCCAAACCAATCGCCATCAGACCAATTCAGAAAAACTGAGGAATATATCAACTCCAGTAGCATTAATATTCTCTTTGGATCCAATATCAAGTTGAATGTTTCAAAGGTTGTTAAAGATCATGATTTACTTCCAGCTGCAGAAAAAAATTTAATCAAGATTTTTGCAATGTCAGAAGATATTCATGGTGCCTATTACATATTAGGTGTCATCCTTTATTACTTCTCAAGAGAATCCCTTCAAGAGTTAATGGACTTCGTTGGATCATATTCTCGTAAGAGTTTTAGAAGTGCTATTATTAGTAATGAACCAGATGAAAGATTATTGAGCTACAAGAATTTCAATGACTCAGAAATTTCTCTATTCTACCGTCTGTTCACCACATTTACAATGGAATCTTTTCAGATTTTTGGTTCAAGATTGGGTTCATTTATAGAAACAAATAGTATAATTAACAACAAAGCTATCTCCAGTATTAACTCAGAGAGTAATGAAGAAAATATAACTAATAATGAAACAGAAAATATAACCAATAATAATACAAATGATACAGTAACTTTTATTACAGTATGGAAAAATGTTTATTTAAGAGGGTTAATCAGAGAACATTCTAAACTTTTTAGCATTTTTTATGAATGCAGAGAATTTTATAGTTTAGAAGACCTTTTGGTATTTAATTTTAAGGAATATTTATACAAAGTCAAATTTAATTTTATAGTTGACGATTCAAAAGATTTAGAAACATTATTACCAAAAAACATTAAATCATTGGTTATCTCGGTTAAAATTTTTCTCACACCCATTCCAAGCTGGATCGAGAAAGTCTCTATTGTCGATGACCAACAACTCACTCTTGATGTCTACGAATCTGAACCTCTCAAGTTAGAAGCTTTATTTTCAAAGGTACCAAATCTAAAAACACTAGAATTTGAATCAGAGATAGTGCTTGACCAACTATCACAAAATTCTTTTAAAAATACATTACCAATGTTAAAAGAATTAAAGTTTCCATCAACAATTCCTGTTGTGTTATCATGGTTACCAAAAGGTTTAAAGAAACTTTATATCCACACAAGTGAAGTTTTAAAAACTGAAATTTTACCCAACTCCTTAACAGAACTATCAATTCTTACCATGGATTCAACATTCCCAATAAAAGATGGTAATGGCTTACCAAGTAGATTGCAAAAATTAAAAATTAACAGAAATGATGGTGAAAATTTAAGTCCCAAAACAGATAAATGTTATATAATTCCATATAATTTCAAACTTCCATCTTCACTACAACATTTAGAAATTAATACAATTTGTGATTCTGAATATCCAATTAGTTTCCCATCCAGTTTAAAATCAATTAAAATACAAATTAAAGATATGCAATCTATAACAAGTTTACCAAATGGTTTAGAGGTACTAGATATTACATGTTTAGGCAAAACCAATTCAAACTTAACATCAATTCTATCAACAAATTTGAAAAAACTTGTTATTAGAAATGGTCATTTTAATCAAAAGCTCGAACCAAACATGTTCCCATCCAGTTTAACCAGTATCGAATTCATTGGTATTTTATTTGACAATGATGGAGGCAATCTATTAGCCGAAGATAATTTATTCCCATCATCTTTAACCTATCTCAACTTGGGTGATACTTTTAATGAACCAATTACAGGTCTTAAAGTGCTACCAGAAAGCTTAAAAACACTTATACTTGGTGAAAGATACTATCATAGAATTAATGGTGGTTCAATACCATCTGGTTTAGAATTGTTACAGATCAAAAATCAAAAATACAACAAATTCCCAATCAAACTACCTAATCCAAAAACCATTGTGGATTGTTGTAACTATTATAAACAATTCGAAAAAAACTTTGAAAAATTAATTTCATTCAAAGCTCCAAAAGAGTTTAGAGCTTCAATCAATCCAGAACTGTTCACATTAAATAATAGATACAGTTTAAAGTATCTCGATTTATCAGAGAACTTGGTACCAGAAATTGTATTTTCAGAATTACAATCTAACTTCATTAAAACATTGGTACTAGGCGATTATGATTACTCTGAAATTATCAATATCGATAATTTTCCACATTTGGAAACTTTAATTGTCAATGATGGTTGCCCGTTAGTTGATCATAACAATCTGAAAACAATTATTGTAAACAGAAAATGCACAAAATTTTTGGATTTATTAGATCGAAATTTCCACGACATAATAAAATTAAAATAAAAAATAAAAAAAATTATAATTAAAGGTTTTAAAAAAAAATATATAAATAATGTATGAATGTTTATTTCTATTATTACCAATAAATATCTATACTATTGAAAAATCAAAACCAGCATCAACAATACCTTTACTTGTAATAATTGATATATATTTTTTTATGGGGTTTTTATTATATTCTATATTATGAATATTATTAATTTGGTTAAAAATAGTTTTTACAATATTTATTATACTCTTCTTCATTCATTAGTTGGATTAGTTCATTTTTATTTTGAATTAATAGTTTTGCAAGCCATGATTTTCTGGGATCGATATTTAAATCATTTGGATAGTCTAAAAGCACTTGATTAATTGAAACTACTTTACCAGATAATGGTGAATTTACCTTGACGTGATCCGACATTGTTTCTATACTAATACATTCTTTATCAATAATTATACCATTTCCATCGATTAATGGAAATTTAATATACAAAATATCATCATTATTTATTTTATTATTAATAAATTGCTCAGTTAATCCAAATGTGACTATAGTTTCACTATTATTATTATTATCATTATTATTATTGTTGTAATTATCTATGTCTATTTCGAAACTATTATCATAATTATCATCAGTTTTGGGTATGGATACCCATGTATGATTTTTTGAATATTTTATTTGGCAATTATTTTTATTAAAACTGCAATAAAACCTATTATTTATTTTAATAAAGTTATAATTATTTATAAATGATTTAATCATATTTCTATTATTTTTCTTTAAAAATTAACATAAAAAGGAATTTATGAAAAAATTAAAAAAATAAAAATAAAAAAATAAAATATTTTTAATTTTAAAAAAAATATTTTTTTTTAAAAATTTCTTTATCTTTCATTGTAATTAATTATTTGTGTGTAGTTGTAAATTAAATAAAATAAAATAAATAAAATATACAAATAAAATGGAATTTGAAAATTATAGAATTCAAAATATCATTGATGATATTACTTTACTAAGAATAGAATGTGATTGGGTAAATGACCAAACTGAAGAATCATTTAAATCAATTATCGAAAAAGGTAAATCTGACTTTTTATATCAGTAAGTAACTTTTATTTTAATGGTTTTTACAATCTAAAGATATGTTACTTATTGTTATTTTCTTAGCGAATTAATTTGGGCTATTGGTAAAGAATTATCAGTTTATTTTAATATTGAATGGCCAGCAAATGAAAAAGTTGAAAAACTAGGGGAATTTAATTCAATATTAGAATCATCAATAAATAAATTACTTAAAGATAGTGGTTTTGATAAAACTGAAGAAACTTATGAAAATAGAATATCAATGATCGAATATCTCTTTTTACAATTACAAACACTTCAATTAGATTTATTCGAAAAATTCGACAATACAAAAGAAAAAGAAAAAGAAAAAGAAATGGATAGTGAAGAAATGAAAGATGTTGAAATTGTTAATCAAGAAGATTATATCATTAGCGAAATTCAAGTATTATCAGATCTATTCTCTATAGAATTTAACAACTATGATAATTTATCCAATACATTAGGCCTAATTTCTGATAAGGTAAGATATTGTTTAACCAATCTATTATACTATATAATAACTTTACTAATATCTATCTCTAACCCAATTATTTAGATCAAAGACACATTAAAATTATTACCAAGTGATTTTATTAGCGAACCATTCTTTAAGAGAACATCATTTAATGATCAAGAAAAAGAAGAAATTGAAACAATGAGTAAAACAATGTATCAAGATTATAAAAAGAGAAGTATAGTTTTACAAAAGAGATTAGATGTAACTGTCGAATCATTATTATGGAACGAAAGAGTTGCAGATAAATTAAAAGAAATTAAAAGAAATGTAAATTATTTTATCCAATCCTTACCATCAATCACTCATTATACCTATTTCGATTTGATCAATGTGCATAGAGATCTTTTACAAATTAAAAGAACTTCCCAACACAGTGTCTCTGCCGCAACTTTAAATTCAGTTATCATTGGAAAAGTACCTGATCGTGGTGGTAGAACCAATGATCGTAAAATTCCAATGCCATCATTCCACAAACGTGTTGAATTATCCTCTTCAATGGATGGTCACAAACATAATAAAAAATATTTTAAAAAAAAATAAAATAAATATAATAATTAAATTAAAGAAAAATTTCGACTAGATACATTTTTTAAAAAATTTTCACACACAAATCATATATACAAACACAGAATGATTATACAGAGGGTTGTTTTATAGATACAAAAAAAAAAAATTTATAAAAGAATTAATAATTCTTTGAAATATATATTAATTTTTTTTATTTAAATTATTGTTGTTGATTGTTGTTATTATCATCATTTAAAACATTAGGGTAATCTGGAAACTTACTGGTACCCTCTTCGAGTTGTGGTGTGTAGTTGAAATATCTTGAATGTTCTTCTTTAAAACCATTTACTATTGATGATTTGTAATCCGAAAAACTTGAATAACCATAATCTATATTACCATTATAGTCTTCCAATATTTTAACATCGTGGTAGTACCAACACACAGAGTTCATATAGTTTTTAAAAACATACTGGGTATATTTTATCATTTTTGCTTTACAAGCCTCGGTGCATCCATTCTCGATGTCAGGAAAACAATCTTGGCCAGTCATGAAATTTTTAATAACAGCAAAACAAGTGCCACTGCCAATTTGTTGAAATAATTCGTTGAAATAGTATGTATCATGCACACACCTTTAATACGAAAAATAAAAAATAATAATTTTAAGTATTTAATTAAATAAAAAAAAAATTTTAATAAAAAAATTATAGTTTAAAAATAATTATTATTTTAAATTCAAATCGAAAAAAACTATTAATTAATTTTAAATCGAAAAAAAAAAAAAATTTAAATTAAAAAAAAATTAAAAAAAAATTTTTTTTGCCCCTAAACTATAATTATTCTAAAAATAATAAATAAATTACAATAATAATAATGTAATAGCTTTTCCTTCACAAAATTTATTTATTTATTTATTTTTTATCCAATTAAACGATATTGATATAGTTCGAATAAAGCTTCAGCATTGAAAAAATGGTCGGTGTGGCATGAAAAAATAATAAAACTTTCTGTGTCATAAATTGATATTTGATATTTCAGCTATCAAAAGAGAAAGTGTAAATAGAAAAATCCTTGAAAATAGTGTTGAAGATTTTATATGACTTCTTTATTACATCACTGGAATATTTTTTTTATTTGTTTAATTTTTTTTAAAACCATTTTTTTTTTTTTTTTATTTATAAAAAAAAACGGTGTTGTGCTTACATTAAGACTTTTTTTCGATAGAAGGCAGTGTCGCTATTATTGGAAACAAGTATTGTTGTATTTTTTAATTAATTAAAAAAAATAATAAAAAAATAAAAAAAATAAAAATCATTTTTTGGATTAAAAAAAAGATTATTTTTTTGAAAATTTTTTTTTTTTCAAATAAATATTTTGATACCTAAAAAAATTTTTTGGACAATTTTTGATTTTATTTAATTAAAAAAAAATATTTTATTTTATTTAAAACTATAAAATTATTTATATAAATAATTGTATGTATTTATTTTTTATAAAAATAAAAAACCCACAAAATCACTTTAAAACACACACACACATCCACACACACTACACATAACATACATCTGTTCACCCACAAAACACAAAAATTTTTACACACCAATTTTTTTTTTTTTTTTTTTCAATTTTTCAATTTTTTAATGCATTTTGTATTAGTTGTGTTTTTGTTATTATCCCAATCTCATATTCATCACAAAACAACTAAACAACAATAACAACAGATAAAATAGTTTTTAATAAAATTTAAATAAACTTTTTTATTTTTTATTTTTTTTCTTCTCTATTTTAAATACATTACTTTAACCAGCAACAAACACACAACACACACAGAATTATATTTACAATCTTTTTTTTTTTTTTCTCAATATACATAAAATTAATAAATATTTTTTATATATAATAAACTATTAATTATCAATAGGCTCGCAGTATAAATTTAGATTATTATGTCTTTTTTTACTTTTGGAATTATAAAAATTAAATTAAATTAAATATAAATTAAATTAGATCAAATTAAATTTCTACAATTTTGCACAACATTAAAAAAAAAAAAGAGGAAAGATAGAGTTTGTGTATGTTAAATTTTTTAACAATCAGTAGTTTTAAAACTTATTATTAATCAATTCAAAATTTTTGTACAGGTTTAGATCACACACAAAATTCAAACATTTATTATAAAAAATTAAATTTTTTTTTTTTTTTTTTTTTTTTTTTTTATAATTTTTATAAACCAAGAAAATGAACAGGGGTAGATCAGCATCAAATGGGTCAGTTAGTGCATTAATCAACAATTTAAATAAAAATAAACAACCTAGTAATGATACAGTTACTCCACAGAGAAAAAGTAATTTACATTTATTTAGATAGATAGATAAATTTATTTGAATTCATATTATAAAATTTACTAATTTCTTTTTTCTTTCTTAGTGACAGGAGTTTCTAATATGATTTCAAAATTTAATAGTAATGATAGTAGCAATAACTCACCAATAACATCAAATTCTAGCACACCTACAACAAACTCACCTCCAGTTGTTCCACCAAGATCACTAAATACAACCAATAATAATAATGATTCTAATATTAAAGGAACTCTAACACCAAGCTACACATCAAATAACCCTATATTAAAAACACCAATATCTCCAGTTAGTTTATCAGCTCCTACCTCTTCTGTATCTGTATCACCACTACCACTATCACCAAGAGGCACTATTAAGCCCTCCCCACCTCCAAGATGTCTATCCCCAACACCACCACAACCACAATCAGCCTATACAACACCAACTTTATCTCCTACAACAAATAGTAGCAATAAATTACCTCCAAGACCATGGTCACCACAACCACAAAATAATAATGATAGACCATTACCACCTAGACCATGGTCACCACAGCCTCAAAACAATAATAATAACAATAATATCGATAGTAATACAAATAGACCCTTGCCACCTAGACCATGGTCACCACAACCCCAACCACCACAACCCAACAATATAAAAACTGTATCACCACCAAAATCACCAACTATTTCGCCACCAACCTCACCAACTATTTCACCAAGTAATTCATCTACAAATTTAATACCACACAAAGGAAATAGTAATAGCTCATTAACAATTAGTGTTACTACACCACCTCAAGTTTCAAAAAGATTACATTCTACACCAGAGCCAATGAATACAAATCAAATTCCAACAACAGCAGCAGCAACCAAAACAACATATAACCTGTCACAACCAAATGCAAGTACAATGCCTCCACCAACCACAACAACAAGTAAACCATCATTACCACCAAGACCATGGAGTATTAATACTGGTAACACTAGTCCATCAAATAGCAGAGAGAATAGTAGTAACAATATAACATCCAATAACCAATCCCCAACAACCTCACCTGTAACAACATCAACTACACCCGTTAAACCATTACCAAAAATTTCAAAACCCCCACTCCCAAAACCATCTACCATATCCAATAATAATAAAACTGAAGAAAAACAAGAGGCAAGCTTAAGTGCAAGCAATTTAGATACTCCAATTACATTCAGTGATATTAGAACAACGAGACAAAAAACTTTAACAAGAAAGCAAGCAACAATGAAACTTAAGGATGGAGATAGCAGTCCAAGCAATAATATTGTTGAAAGCAATAGTAGCAGTGAAATTAGTGAACTAGCTAGCAGTGTTGGTAGTATAGGTGATGATATTGCAACTGATTCTTCCAGTAGAAATAATAGTGCAGATGATTTAGAAATAACAAATACAAGCAACACAAACAACATTAATATAGAGAATAATAATAACAATAATACAAACAATAACAATAACAATAACAATAATACAACCTCCAAAGAAAAAGAAAGCAGTACGTCATCACTAACAAGTTTTATATCATCACACAAAAAGAAAGGTTCATTTTTATTCAATAATTCAAATGCAACATTAAGAAGAGAGCAGACATTAGATTTAAAGGGTGTTTTAATGGAAAAAATTCAAGAAAAACATAATCAAATGCTTACAAACTCAACCAGGAAATCCAAATTACCACCAATTAACCAATCAACATCTGTTAACAAAGTTATTAATGAAATCATTGAAACAGAGGCAGACTATTTAGATGATCTAGAAGTTATTATAAATCTTTATTTATTTGCAGCCATCGAATTGAACAAATATAGAATATTAAGTGACTCTGATATATTCCATGTATTTTCAAATGTCGAAGAGCTATACCATATTTCATTAAAATTATACCCAATGCTATTAAAAACCATACCATTATTAGAAAACAATCAATACCCAAATATTGAAGAAATATTTTTATATAATGTAAGTGCAGTACTATGTAAAGTTTTATATTAATTTATAATTCTAATTTTTTTTTTTTAATCCAGTCCAAAGCATTTCAAAGATATGGATTTTATTTATCATCACAAGAAAATTCAATTAGGGTTTTAAATGGTTTAATAGATAGCAATCAAGTTATACAATCAATTTTTCAATATGTAAAATCATTATCGCTATGTAAGCAACTAGACCTACATTCATTTTTAATTAAACCATGTCAAAGACTTTGTAAATATCCATTATTGCTAAGAGAATTAAAGAAATCAGTCCCAGAAAGTGAAGAGGCTCATCATAAAAATTTTGAAAGAAGTGTAAAATTAATGGAAAAGATTGTAAATGATATTAATGGCAAAATTAGTAATGATGAAAAAATTCAATCAATTATTAAAGAAATTGGTAATATCTCAAAAGAAAACGAATCTTTATTATGGAACCAAACATTTATAAAGTAACTATTACACTTAATAATAAAATCATTTTTAATAATACGGCATACTAATATGTATTTTTTATAGGGATTCTAAAATGAGAAAAGCATTCAAAAAGAAAAAAGGTTATAAAGATGTTACGGTGTATTTATTAAGTCAAATTATTTTAATTTTTGAAAAGAGCACATTCAAGAAAAAACTTATAATCATACCATTATCAAAAATTAATAGTGTTAACGATATCGAAAGAGAACATCAATTTGGAGTTGGAATAAATTATAACAAAGAAGATAACAGCACTCATAATGTTTCTTTAGCCTGTGATAACTATAGCCACAAACTACTATGGATTAATGATATAGATGAAACCATTCAAACATTCAAGGTATTAAATGGAACCTATCTTTATGTAACCTCAGATCTTCAAAATAATTCTGGTGAATCCAACTCACCAACATCAATATCAGCATCAAACTCCTCTTCATCAATAGCATCAATGTAACCCAGGAATCTGTTTTATAAAATCAATACATTTATATATTTATATGTAAACTTTATTTATTATTTTTTTTTTAATAAAAATTTAATTTATGATAGTTATAATTTAATTATTATCATTATTATTAATTAACAGTAAATAAAATATTTGTTTTATAATTTTTTTAAGTTTTATAGTTTTTTTGTACATTTTTAAAATAGATTTTTATTATTTTCTTTATTTTTTATAATTATAAAAAATAAAATATAAACATGTGCATATAAACAAAAACTGGACTTTCTTTTTAAAGTAAATTTTATTTATTGGGTTTTATGGTATCTTTTGGAATGTAAATCATATCGTCGTCTCCTAAACCATCATCATCTTCTTCATTGTCGCTAAATTGATAATGCACTTTATTATTTGTTGGGATACTTTTATAATCTTCTTCTTCTTCTTCTTCTTCTTCATCGCTATCTTCATAGTCATATTGATTAAATTTTGGTGGTAATGGGTTTGAATAACGATTTGAAATTGGTGGAAGTGATGGATGACTGAGAACTGGTGGTAATTGTGGTAACCTATTATGAGTATTAACATTTCCGTTATTACCATAATTATTACGATTTGTTAAAAAACTACCTGCTGTATTACTATTATCATTATAATTACTGAAACCATTACTATTGTTATTTATATTCATACTATTATAACCATTTATATTATTAATATTGCTATTATTAATATTGCTATTATTAATATTGCTAATATTGCTATTGCTATTATTAATATTGCCAATATTGCTATTATTAATATTGCTAATATTGCTATTATTAATATTGCTAATATTATCATTGTTATTACCATTGCTATAACTATTATTTAAAGGTTGTAAACTATTTGTTTTTGGTGGTAAAGTTTTAAATAAAGTATTGTTTATATTTGTTGAACCATTATTTTTAGAGAAAAATGATGATGATGATGATGATGATGATGATGATGATGATGATGATGATGATGATGATGATGATGATGATGATGATGATGATGATGATGATGATGATGATGAGGACGAAGATGAGGATGATTTATTTGATGTTGCCGTTGGAATATGAATATATGAATCTCCACCAAAGTCATCATCGCTATAATCTTCATCGCTACTAGTTTCAAATGTGTGTGATTTCTTGTTGAGAGGGTGTGAAGCTTTATGTTGCGATTGACGGGTATTATTACTATTTAATGATTTAATTTTTTTAGAATTACGATTGTCTTGAATATTGAATTTAATATTATCTTCATTATCTGAAGAGACTTCTTCTGAATTCAATAAAATGTTTAAACTTGCATTCTTTTCTACATTATAGCTACTATTGTTATTGTTATTATTGTTATTATTGTTATTATTATTAATATTGTTATTATTGTTGTTATTATTACTACTTGGTCTTATATAGAACACCCCTCCTTTTTCTTTTCGATGTGAAATTATATCGAATGATGAGTGTTTTGTTATTTTTGGTGGGTTCATAGCATAATTTACAATATATTCTAAACGTTTGGCAATTGCTTTATCTTTTGGGAAATTTATAATATCAAGCATATTTTCTTTTCTCTTTCTCTTCTTTTCATCTTCGCTATTTGTGGTGGTATCAGATGACTTTTTAATTGAATCTGCAACTAAATGGAATGGTAAAGTTTGATCATTGCAAATATCTTCAAACTGGGAATAGCCATACTTTGCAATACCTTTGAGCAAAGCAATATCGTGATATGGTGTTTTCCACCAGCTTGGGAAACCATGATGTGGGACTGGAACGTTTTTGAGGGTATTCTCTAAATCTTCTATTTTCAATACTTTGTTACGAAGTTTATTAAAGAATTGAATTCTTGAAATAAATCTTTTACATTGAACAAGGGATAAATCCTCCTTCTTGTCAGTTTTATCTTCTTTTTCTTCCTTTTCTTCTTTTTCATCATCTTCATCATCTAAATTACTATCTTGATTATCGCTATGATGCTTTTCTCTTTCTCGTTCTTTTAATTGATTTTGATGCTCTTTAGTATTGAAAATGGTATTTGCTTTAGATTTCTTTTCCTCAAGAATGGCTTGCTCGCATTTGTTATAAAGTTCAAAGTAGAAACGTTCGATCAATTCAGATGATTTCTTTTTTAGTGAGGCTTTTTCTTTAATTAAATCCCAATTAAATTCACCCTTTGTTTCTTCTTGGATACCATAAATTGTTATACAACGATAGAACGAATCCTTTTCACGCTTGGTCCACTCGACTTTTGGTTCTTGACGTCTTTTTAATTTTTCCTCCTGTTTCTTTTCTTTTTCTTGTTTCTTTTTTTCAACTCTTGAATCTTTTTCCAATTTATTTTTATAAAACTCCATAGTTCTTAATAATCTTTTAACTCTATGTGATAAAACTTTTGATGATGGCCATTTAATAGCCTCGTCTGTATTATGCTCTTCAGTAGTACTGGTGCTGGTAGTACTGGTGCTGGTAGTATCACTACCTCCATCTGGAGCAGTATCGATATTATCCTTTGATTTTGTGGATGACTCTTCTGTTTCTTCTTGAATATCTTCAACTGATAATTTCCACTTATATTTTGAGAATAAAAGCTCTGGATCATTTCTAATTAAATCGTACTCGCCAAAACCATGCTTATATGTACCAATTAATAAATCATTATCGAGGTTAGTTCTCCACCATGGGAATGGTGGGTCTGATAAATCACCTAAACTTTCTGCAATTAAAGGATAACCTAACTTTAATACTTGAGCAACCATGGCCATATTATGTAATTTTCTTGCAATCTTTTTGGTATTTCTTATTAAATAATCTGCAAAATAGTGATCATTAAATGTGGTGTGATTAATAAACTCCATAAAACCTTTATCCTCTGAACTTTCGTTAAATTCTCTACATAGTTCAATTTCCTCTTTAGCTGATTCGGTATTATTTATAGTGGTGGTTTTTGTTACTTGGTCTTCGATTGAACCCACTGGTGGTGATGGTGATGGTGATGATGATGAAGTGGTGGTTGTGGTGGTTGTAGTATTATTTTCAATTGTCGTCGACGATGTAGTTGCAACTGAAGATTCGTTTGAATCAATATCCATTTTAACTTTTTCATCTTCATTATTTTTATTATTATCACTACTATTATTATTATTGTTATTATTAATATTATTTGATTGGTCTCCATCTACTTTTTCTTCACCCACATTTGTATTTTGAGCCAATTCTTTATCCTTTTCTTGTTTTAATTTAAATTGCAATTCCTTCTTTTCAATATAATATTTGTGAATAGCAGGTTCTAATTCAACGACCAATGCATTTAATAATTCTAAACTAAGTTTATTTGACTCGGCAACTTCTTTATCGTTATTAAAATTTGTGATTACCCTATGAATAAAAGCACGGCCATATGTTCTAATTTGTTCAACAGTCCAACGTTTTAAACCAGCAACAGTCTTGATTGTATTCCATCTACCACTACCTAAGCATAATAACGCAGATTTTAATTTATTTCTTTCACCAGCAGTCCAAGTTTTAGTATTTGTGCTATCTTTATTTTGATCATTATCCTCATCCTCAGCTTCAAGGTCTGATTCTTCAGATGATGATTCTTCATCTTTGGTACCAAATCTGTGAACATTCTTTCTAATTCTTGGTTGTAAAATTAAATCATCTTTGGTATCCAATTCAGGTACAAATTTATCCCAGAAATTTGGATCGTTAACATCAATTTGTGGCTGGGCTGATGAAGAACAAAAACTTGCTGTTGAAAAACTACTTGCCATTGGATCTACTACTTCGGTATTTACAACTGTTGATCTATCTAAAATTTGATCAATATCCTCCTCATAAAATTTTTCGTTTGCATTTTCTTCGTCCCTAATATTGAAAAAAAATAATATTATTAATACAAAATTCTTTTTTTTTTTTTGTTTGTCTAATTTGAAAAAAATCCTATTTACTTTATAGCATAGACACCATATTTTAATAAACTATTAATTGTTTCTTTATCTGGTACTTCTTCTTTACTTGTTTGATTTAAAGAATTCATTTTAGTTAAAACAACACGATCAAGACCAAGTTTTTTAGAGGCTCTATCAAACATTAATCTTTCATAAGTATTTTTAGTAACTAAACGGTATACCTTTACCATTTTATCTTGGCCAATTCTGTGACATCTGGCTTGGGCTTGAAGATCATTTTGAGGGTTCCAATCAGAGTCAAAAATGATAACGGTATCAGCTGCAGTTAAATTAATACCAATACCACCGGCACGAGTACAAAGAAGGAAAACAAAACGATCAGAGTCAGGTTTTGAAAAACGGTCAATAGCAGCTTGACGATCATTACCTTTGATTGAACCATCAATTCTTTCGTGTGGATAGCCTCTAAAAGTAAGATAATCGTCGAGAATATCCAATACACTAACCATTTGTGAAAAAATTAAAACCTTGTGACCACCAGCCTTAAGCTTTGGTAGAAGCTTATCCACCAATACCAACTTACCAGAGGCCTGAATTAATTTAGTATAAACCTCGTCCTTTTCGCTAATTTCATTAGTCTCTGAATGCTCAACACCTTTAATGAGATATGGATGATTACAACACTTTCTTAATTCCATCATGATATTTAATAAACTTGGACCCTGTTGACCCTTACAATTCTTTCTAAGAAATGCAAAATTCTTTTCATAAATGGCACGATAATATTTCTTTTGAACCATAGTAAGCTCCACTTCCACAATGGTCTCTTCTTTTGGTGCAATAGATTTTTCGACTCTTTCTTTCATACGACGCAAAAGATATGGTTTTAAAAGATTTTGTAATTTAGAGACTTGTTCGGCTTGTTTGAGATCGCCAAATTCTACAAGAAACTCTGCAAGTTTGTTAAATTTAGATGGCTCTAAAAAGTTTAGTAATGCCCATAATTCTTGAGTATTATTTTGAAGTGGAGTACCAGTTAAAAGCAAAAGATGGTCAAAATGATAAGTTTTGAGCTCGCTTGTTAATTTACATTGTTTATTCTTTAAACGATGAGCTTCATCGATTACTAAATATTTCCATTTGATCTTTGAAAGATAAGAACGATCGCTGATGGCCATTTCATAAGTGGTAATAAGTACATTAAATTTGACGACATTGGTTGGTTTACCACTCTTATCTTTAAAGTAAAATTCGTAGTTTCTAAGGATTGGTCTACCGGCGCCAGTGTCATGATAAACCAATGAATTCATATCGGTCCAGTTTTCAAATTCACGCTTCCAATGGGGAATCGTTGTGAGTGGAGCAACAACTAAGAATGGGCCACGAATATCGTGTGCTTTTCTTAAAGTTTCTAAAATTGAAACACTTTGAACAGTTTTACCAAGACCCATTTCATCACCCAAAATTGAATTTCTTTGATTGAACCAACAGTAACGTAACCAATTTAAACCTTCTAATTGATATGGTCTTAATTTATTGCCCTTTAAAAAGTATGATGGACTTTCAGTTAACTCCTTCCATTGAGAGGCTGGTGGTCTTGGTTTATTGGCGTTTGCTAATTCCTCATCTGTTGGAAATGTATTTTGTTTTTGGAACAACTCGATTTTAATATCATCTTTAAAATCATCCTTGAACTCCCATGTAGATTGTGAATAACTTTGTGATTTCCATTTAATTAAAAACTGTTTATCGGCTTGATATTTGTTTGATGATGGTGAAACTGTTCTTTCCTCTAGTACCTTTTCAACTTCTGTGAAATCATCCCATGGAAAATTGCCACTTTCTAACTCAACAACTACTTCAACATCCTCATCGTCTTCATCGTCCACCTTTTGAATAAATCTTTGCAATCTCATTTTACTTGATTTGGTTTGATTTAGTTTATCTGCATCGACCCAAGAACAATGAATATATGAAAGGTCTTTCCATTTAATTAATACTTGTAAAACTTCTTCATCAATGCCATCAACAACTCTTTTTACATATCTTTTGTTTAAAATTTTATCAATTGAAAATTCTTTCTGAACTCTTTGATCACCATCCATTTGTTTAAATTTATCAATTTCTTCGTCACTTGAATCAATAGCCTTTTCATCCTCTTCATTGGAGTTTGCTTCACTTTCATTGTCCTCATAATCCTCGGATTGGTCTTGCATCTCTTCATTTTCCGATTCTTCTGATTCGAGCGGCTTTAGCTTCTTATTTTGAACCTTTGTTTTATTCTTTTTAGCAGGAGCCTTTCTTATATTATTTTTTGGTGGTAACATAGGTTGAATTTGAACTCTTTTCCTTTTACCATCTGATATTGTAGAATCTATTGTACAAGTTGGGGTGATTTCCTCTTTAACTGTTGTCGGCTTTTTTGTTTGAAGCTTAGCTCTTGGCTTTCTTTTGGTTGTTCCATCATTTTCTTCACCCTCATAGTCATCATCCTCTTCATCTTCCTCGCCTTCCTTGTCATGATCTTCAGATCCAGATTCGAGTTTAATGGCTTGTTTCTTTTTTCTGCCTCTTTTACCCTTGGTCTGTTTTTCCTCTACCTCTTCCTCAGAATCTTGTTCATCATTATCTTGATTCTCTTCCTCCTCAACATCAGATTGTTCTGAATCTGAATCTGAATCTTTATTATTTTTTACTGATTTTTTGGCCTTAATTGTATTTTTCTTTAAAACTGATGCCTTTGGTTTTGCCGCTTTTTTTGATGTCTTTTTATTAGTTTCATTTTTCTTTGGAACAATTGTAGCGGAGTCGTCAGTATTTTGTATATTTGAGGCTTCTATCGCTGCTACATCAATTTGACTTTGCTTCAATGCAGCTATAGATCTCCTGGAAAGACCAGTATAATTTAATAACTCTTCTTCACCTTTCCATAATCCCAATTGTTTATTAGCTTTTTTCTAAATTTTATAAAAGATTTGTTTGAAAATAATTTTTTTTAGTTTTCTAGTTTTTTGTTTTTTATTTTTTTATAAAATATTTTTTTTGAAATTTAATTATAGACTGATAAAATTAATTTAATTTAAAACCTACTCTTATTGATGTAGTTGACTCTACAGTTGAATCATTTGGATCAACCATTATATATAATGTTTATTTTTGTACTAGATGTATTATTTAGATATCTATATTTTCTTTTTAAAGTATATTTCATTAAACTATAAAGAAGGTGTCTTTATAGATTTAATAGAATACTATATTTGAGTGTATTTAAACCAAATTAAAACCCAAAACCCCTTTAATTAATATCAATATTTGTTGAAGTTAAAAGAAATACATTAAAAAATTTATATATTGATTTGTTGGTTTGTTCTTTGTTTAAAAACTTGATTTATATTAATATTTATAAAAATATAACGACAATGTATGTATATTTATTCTATAGTAAGGGATATAGAGAAATAATGTAATAAAAAACAAAAAATTTAAAAATAAAATTAAAAAAAAAAAAAAAAAATGAAAAAAAATTAAAAAAAAAAAAAAAAAAAAAAAAAAAAAAAAAATTAAATTTTTTTTAAAAAATAAAATAATAATAATCTCTTTGGTTAAATATTATATCATTTATACCTCTTTCTTATAATTGAATGTTAGTGGGTATATAAATATCCATATTTAGATTGATAAATATGAAAATTCTGTTTTGAAAAAATATCTAATCCATATATGCTTTGAACCTACCACTCATTATTTTAAAAAAGAATATATATAAAATGAATAACCAAATTAGAGATAAAAATAAAAAATAAAAACAAAACAATAGGATTGAGCAATACCCAATCAAAAAAGGAAATATTTAAATTGTTTAAAAAAAAAAAAAATTTTATATGTGTAAATTAGTTAATTACTATTACTAATTTAACCTGTAAATAAACTTTTTTAGATTTATTTCTTTGTTTTTTATATCTTGATATTAATTTAATACCAAAAGCAATAAAACTATAATTATTTATTATGATTTATTATAAAAAAAAAAAAAAAAATATGTGGTTTATAAAAAAATTTCTGATTAAAAAACTCTTTTTCTTTTCTTCTTTTGCGCTGAGATTTACCAAAATAATAAATGTTCTTGTTTTTGTGATAAAATATTATTTTTGATTGAATGTGATTTCTAATTTTTTCTAATTTAAAATATATATTCGTTTGTTTAAAAAAAACCATTGCAATTATTATTTTGTTGATTTTTTTTTTTTTTGTCTATTATTATTAATTATTATTATTCATATTATTTATACTATTATTATTATTATATTTTTATTTGATTAAATAGTATTATTTTATGAAATTGAACATCTAGAAGGCTCGACAGTTTGTTGATCCTTTTGAACATGACCAATGAAATAACAATTATTTAAAATTTGTAACATTTTTGCCGAATGAAACTGAACATTATCGGTACCGTCTTTACCAGCAAATCTAAGTAAAGCATTTTTACCACCAGGATGTTTATCTATATAAGCCGTTATATCATAAACCTTATTTTGTATTATCATCCAGCAACTTTCTAAACTATTATGGGTTGAAATTTCTTCTAATGAAAAATAATTTTGTTGGTTTACAGGGTCATTTAATTTTCCTGGTTTATGCTTGGGTATTATTGGTTGTTGTTGTTTTTGTTGAACCGGTTGTTTTTTAACCAATTGTGGTTGTTTTTTATTATTTTCAATATTATTATTATTATTATTATTATTATTTTCTATATTACTATTATTATCTAAAGTTAAATAAATTGGTTGTATATTTGAATTGGTTTCTTTATTAAACTTTATATGAGATGAATCACAAAATGGTAAATTTGAGGACTGTTGGCATACGCATACTAACTTTGTTGTAGATTTATTGTTACTTTTTGGTGACGATGATTCTTTTTCTAAATTTTCTAATAATTTTTTTGCCTGTGGTAATTGGTCATTTGATATCATGTGTAATGAATTTGATATATTATTTAAAACGCCTGCTAATGGTTGATCTTTTGATACCTTTTGCTCAATTATAATTTTTCTATCACTACTATTTTTTAAACCATTATTATTGCTATTGCTATTTTTTGAAGTAACTACTGTGTCTTCTATATCTTTAATTGAGTTACAACAACATGAACTACATGATGTAGGTACTAAAATTGGTGATTGTTTAATACTCGATGGTGAATTTTCTATCATTTTTCTATTATTTTTTTTCGTTTTTTAAATTATTATATGGTGCTGTTTTTAAAATTTTTTTAATTTTTGTATATTATATTGATATATATTATTAATATGTGAAATATATTTATATATTAAAAAAAAAAAACAATTTTTTTGAAATTAAATGATTATTTAATTAATTAATTTATTTATTTATAAAATAATAAATAGGAAATAAATAAAAAAAAAAACTTGATTTAAAACATAATACAATTTTTAAAAATTATGAAAAATTTATAAAAAAAAAAAATTTTAAAAAAAAAATAAAAAAAAAAAAATAAAAAAAAAATATAAAAAAGTTATTATTAAAAAAAAAATAAAATAAAAAAAATAAAATAAAAAAAGAAAATACAAGAAGTTTAACTTATTTGAGAATTCTAATTGAGAATTTAAAGGTTTTATTTTATTATATATTGAAATTTTAAATATAAATAACTTTTAAAAAAGAAAAAAGAAAGAAAAAAAAATTATTATTCTTTATTACATTAAAAAAATAAAAAAATAAAAAAAAATTTTAAAAAAAAAAAAAAAAAAAAAAGTGTGTTTTGTGTGTGTTAGCATAAATGGCTAAAGCGGGTGTGTTTTATTTTTTTAGTCTGTACATATTTGTATTTGTTATAAAAATATTATTCATATAAAAATAGAGAATAATAATAATAATAATAATAAATAAAAATAATAATATATAGTTTAAACTACCCACATACATTTAAAAGTTAATTTTATGAAATTTCAATATTTTAAATAAATAAATAAAATAATTACCCAAAAATTATTAAACATATGGGCAAATAATTACCATAATAAAATAAACATAAAATACTATAAAACGAGTGTTTGATATTTTTTATAAAATTCTTGAGATATAAATGTGAACTTTGAGATTCTACAGATATATGACAAAATTTATTTATCATATTACAACAACAAAAAAATAATATTTAAAAAATTATAAACAAATAAAATAAAATAAAATAATAAATAAAATAATCGTCTTTTTTAAATAGGAATAAAAATAGTATAAAAACATAAAAGACAAATATTCTTTTTTCCTAAAGCCACATTATAAAAATTTTCTTCTTTTTTTTTGTATCTGAATGAATTACGCGCTGTATTAATTTTTTTTATAATTGATTTTTATTTATAAAAGAGTTTAAACGATGGTACCAGCATTGGTGGCAACTTTTGGCCATAAATCTGAGGCTTCTTTGGCAACTGGGCCTAAGATGTTACCTTTGACTTCACCTTTTGGATTACACATAACACCAGCGTTATCTTCGAAGTAAATGTAAACACCATCCTTTCTCTTCCAGTGTTTTCTTTGTCTGACGACTAAACCAGTGCAAACTAAATTATTTTAATCCAACATTAATTAAAATTGTATGAAAAAATTCCAATTATGAATTGTTGTAAATTGAATTAATATCTTTGTTTTTTAATGTTTTCGTTGCTATCCAATAAATAATGTAAAACATACCTTTCTTTCTTAATTCTGGTTTACCTTTTTTAACAGTGCACATACACATATCACCAACACCGGCACTTGGTAATCTGTTTAATCTACCTTTAATACCTTTAACAGCGATGACATATAAGTTTTTGGCACCAGAGTTATCAGCGCTGTTCATGACAGCACCGACTGGGAGACCAAGAGAGACTCTGTAGTTTGAACCGACGGCTTGAGCTATAGAAAATTATTAGTGATTTGTCATTTAAAAATAAAAAGAGAGAGAGATAGATAATAGATATAGATATGTTTTGTAGTGATAGATTATTAGTGTTTGATAATAGATAGGTCTTATTATTGATAGGGTTATTGGATTGATGGATATCTTTTATTGATTGCTGGATAATAGATAAGAGTGATAAATTTTTGATGAAGAGATAAAAATTCAGCATGTATATACACACCTTTACTCATTTTTATGATATTGGAAATTAGCTAACAACAAAAAAAAAAAAAAAAAATTATTTTTCCACAGCCAAAATTTTTAATACACGAACCGAAAAAAAAATTTTTAATTTTTTTAAAATTTTTTTTTTTTTTTATTTTTAAGTAGCGTTGTTATACTTTTTTTAAAATTTTTTTTTTTGAAAAAAAAACTATAACAATTACAAATTATAAATGAATATTAATATAGATATACATTTTTGGTTAAAGCAATTATTACTATTTTTTTATTTCTTTTTTTCCAAAAAAAAAAAAAAAAAAAAAAAAAAAAAAAAATTTTTTTTTTTTTTTTTTTTTTTTTAATAGTAATTGAAAATAATAATTATAAAAAAAATTAAAAAAAATAAGGAAAATAAAGAACATAAAAACAATGAAACAATATAAATAAAAATGGTAATGGTTTTAACTAAAAATGAAATGAAAATTAAAAAATAAAAAATAAAAAAATAAAAAAAAGATATTATGTGTGTTTTTACACTCTTGCAGTTTTTATAAATATTAATAAATATTTACCATTAATCACAATAAAAAAAATTGGAATAAATACAAATATGTATAAACTTATACATATTTATATTGTTTTTTTTTTATTTATAAAAGGAAAATAAAAATAAAAATAAAATATTGGAATTATGTGTTGATTAATTAATTTAATTATAACAATGATTATAACTGTTAAAAATTTTTAAATTTTATTTTATTTTTTTTTAAATTTTTTTTTGAATTTTTTTTAAATTTTTTATTTTTTTTTTTAAAATTTTTTTGAATTTTTTTTGATTTTATTACTATATGAATGATCAATTAAAGCTTTCATTAACACCTTTATAGATAAAAAAAAAAAAAACAAAAAAAAAAAAACCATTGCATTTATTATACACAAAAAAAGGTAAATTATATATTAAACAGTAAAATTACAAATAATAGGAGAAAAATAGTTTTTTTTTTTAAAAAAAAAGAACAGCAAATATACAAAAAAAAAAAAAAAAAGTCATAAGATTAAATAATCTTAGATTTATTTTAAACTAAGAAATAAAAGTTATTTAATAAACTAGTATAGGTATACTTACAATAAAAATAGTAATAAAGATAATAGAATAGTATAATAGCAAAAACAAAAACAAAAACAAAAACAAAAACAAAAACAAAAACAAAAACAAAAACAAAAACATAAACATAAACATAAACATAAACATAAACATAAACATAAACATAAACATAAACATAAACAATAACAATAATAATAACAGCAGCAGCAGTAAATATCGATAGTAATAGAGTTTATATAAATAATAATAGCTATACAATAAAAATAATATATTAATAATTTAACAAGAAAAATAATATAAAGAAAGATTTTTTGTATATTTATTTATTTGTTTACCCCATATAATCTTATACTGTTTGTGTGATATGATTGTTTATTGTAATAAGATGGATTGGATGGATGGGACTTTGTGTGTGTGTTTGTGTCTGTTTTTTATATATATATAAAATTTTTTTATTTATTTTTTTTTATTTTTTTAAAATAATAAAATAATAGATATATAAACATAAATATATAAAATTTTTTTTTTTTTTTTTTAATATTAAGAGTTTTATACATATATACATTTTACTAATTTTATTTTATATTTTATATTTATATATTATAGAATTTAAAAAGAGTTAGCACCAAAAAAAAAAAATTAGGTAGCAATTTTCTTTTCTTTCTTTCTTTTTTTTTTTTTTTTTTTTTTAATACTATTCAAATTTATTAAATAAAACGAAAATAATAAAATGGTGTTAACATCAAAACAAAAAGAAGAACTGTAATTATTTATATTTTCTAAAACACAAACAAAAAAAAGGAAAAAGTTATTAATAGTTTTTTATTATTTTTTCAAAAAAAAAAAGAAATGGATCAATTTTAGATTATTTAGAGTCATCAAATTATAAAGCAAGTTTTGAAGAATTTAAAAAAGAAACAGGTTCAGAATTAGATGTAAAGAAAAAAGGGTTATTAGAAAAAAAATGGACATCAGTTATTAGATTACAAAAAAAAGTATTGGATTTAGAAGCAAAGGTAGCACAATTAGAAGAAGAGTTAAATAGTGGTGGTAGAGCAGGAGGATCAAGAAGAGGAAAAGAAGATGCATTACCAAGACCACCAGAAAAGCATACATTAACAGGACATAGAAATTGTATCAATAGTGTTAGATTTCATCCAATGTTTTCATTGATGGTATCAGCTTCAGAGGACGCCACAATGAAGGTATGGGATTTTGAAAGTGGAGAGTTTGAGCGTACACTTAAAGGCCACACCAACGCAGTTCAAGATGTAGATTTCGATAAGACTGGTAATTTATTAGCATCATGTTCAGCCGATCTTACAATTAAACTTTGGGATTTTCAAACCTATGATTGTATAAAAACATTACATGGTCACGATCATAATGTCAGTTGTGTTAAATTCCTTCCAAGTGGTGATCAATTAGTCTCATCGAGTAGAGATAAAACTATTAAAGTTTGGGAAGCTTCAACGGGTTATTGCATTAAAACTTTGGTTGGTCACGAAGATTGGGTTAGAAAAGTAACAGTTAGCGAAGATGGCAGTTGTATAGCCTCATGTTCAAGCGATCAAACTATTAAAACTTGGAATATTGTTAAAGGTGAATGTTTAGCTACTTTTAGAGAACATAGTCATGTTGTCGAGTGTTTAGCCTTCTCTCCAGCAAATATTGTCGAAATTCCAGGCTCTTTATTATCAACTCCTGAAGGTAAATCTAAGGTTAAAGCAGGTCCTGGTGGCAATTCTTTGGGACAATGTGGCTATTTAGCAACTGGTTCCAGAGATAAAACAATTAAAATTTGGGAATTGGCAACTGGTCGTTGTTTAGCTACTTATGTTGGTCACGATAACTGGGTAAGAGCTGTCAGATTTCATCCATGTGGTAAATTTTTATTAAGTGTTGCAGACGATAAAACTATTAGAGTTTGGGATATAGCACAAGGCCGTTGTATTAAAACAATTAATGAGGCTCATTCTCATTTTATTTCATGTTTAGATTTTTGTATACATAATCCACATATAGCAACAGGTGGTGTAGATGATGTAATTAAAATTTGGAAATTGGGTTAAATCAAATTCACCATCTCATATATAAAAAAAAAAAAAAACACAACAAAACAAATATAATTAAAAAATATAACTTTTTTTTTTTTTATATTATTTATTTTTATATATAATTTTTTTATAGTTTTTTTTTTTCATTATTTAATTTAAAAAAAAAACCAACCAATTTTTCTCTTATCTTTTTTTCACTATATTCATCATATAAATCACACTATAATTAAATAACAAATAACATTACACAACTTGTAATTTCATCAAAATCCTTCCTCTTCCTCTTTTTTTTTATATTTTTTTTTTTGAAAAAAAAAAAAAAAGAAATAAAGAAAAATTTAAATAAATAATTAAATTTAAAAAAATAATTATAAATCTTTTATTCGTTTTTATTTATATTTAGGAAAAAAAAAAATTATTAATCTTTTGTTTCTTTATTTACATTTGTTTGTTAATATTTCAAATTGTTTTAAAAGAAAACAAAACCATCTTTATCATTGTTTTTTTGTCTGATTGTATTGAAATTATTTCTACTTAAATTTGGATTGTTGTTATTATTAGTTATATACAAAAAGTTATTGTTATCACCATTAATATATTTATAGCTTTGAAGAGTTTCATCTATTAAATTCATTAGATCTGTTTTTTCTTTGTTAGTGTCCGTTTGTATTGAAAGTGTTTTAGTGGGGCTACCATCTTTTGTATAATAAACTCCAAAGCTGTTTGGGGTTTTACTTTCATGATCGCAAACTCTTGAAATTTTACTAAATGAAATAACTTTATGTTTCTTTTTAAATGTCCCTTTTTCATAAAGAATTATATTTTGATCTAATATAAATATTTGAATTTCCTTGACTGTATTTTTCTTTTTAAGTTTTTTAACTTTACTCTCCCTATAATAAATTAAAAATAAATATTAGTTAAAAATAATTTTTTTTAATATAAATAATAATATAAAACAATTACTTTAAAAAGGTTTGATGGTGAATTAAAGTTTCAATTTCTTTACCAATTTCTTTAACTATTAATTGAATTTTTTCGTCATTACTGATTTTACCATTGATATCATTTACAATTTTTTCCATTAATTTGACTGCTCTTTCAAATGTTTTGTGATGGAGTTCTTCACTTTCTGGTACTGCTGATTTGGCATCTTTCAAAAGTAATGGATATTTACAAAGTCTTTGACATGGTTTAATTTGATAGGCATGTAAATCTAATAGTTTTGATAATGGTAATTTGTTTTTAATATGGTCAATAATGAATTTTACAATTTCGTTTTTTTCAATAAGGTTTTCTAAAAATTTGTTTGATTGCTCATATGAGGATAAATATGGACCATATCTTTGAAAAGCTTTAAACTAATAATTTGAAAATTTAATTAGTATTTATATAAAAAAATAAAATAAAATAGATATTGATACTTTACATTATTTAAAAATATTTCTTCAATATTTGGATATTGTTTTTGTTCTAATAATGGAATTGTTTTAAGTAGCATTGGGTAAAGTTTTAAGGAAACGTGATAAAGCTCTTCTATATTTGAAAATATTGATTTGATATCATTATGGGTAATAATTTTTAACTTCTCCATTTCGGTGAAAGCAAATAAATAAAGATTTAATGTTGTTTCCAAGTCATCTATATAGTCTGCTTCGGTTTCAATCATTTCTGCTATTCTCTTGTTAAGTCTAGTTGTCGAGTCAATAGCTGGTAGTTTTAGCTTTCTTGGTTCTTTTTGTTGAATTTTGCAATGCTGGATATCAAGTTTTTCAATTAAAATTCCTTTAATTTCACTCTTACTTGAACCAGGAATGATTTTTTCAAAGCTATCCCTTAAATTAAATGATATAGTGGCTGATGAATAAGATTCATTATTCAAACTATGGGCTCTTTGATGTTTACTTGGTGTTGGTGGAGGAGAGTTTTCTCTGCCAATTGATGCTGGTTTCTAAAAATATTTTTTGTATCTACATACTCATCATCTTCAATTCCATCACTTCTAAGGTTATATGTACTGCTGCTCATTATAAATGTTTTGGAATTGGTCGAGTTTTCATTTGCTGCATCTTCTTTTAAAAGATTTGATGATGCAACTCTTCTTGTTAAAACTCTTTGAGGTTTTCCTTCTTGATAATCTAGTCCGAGTGATGTACTTAAGCTTTGATGATGTCCAGTTTTTGATGAGGTTGGAGAGGGTGGAGGGGCAATACTTCCAGATGAACGTTCACCAGATGTGTTTAATTTTCTAGGCATAAGGTTAAGAGCGGTTGATGGTGAAAGTAATGACTTTTGACTAAGGTTCTCCATAATAGAAACAGATCTCTTAACCAAAACTGGTGAACTATTTGGATCTCGTGGTGGTTTTGAATTGGATAGTTTTATCTCGACCGATGTGGATAGTGATGTTGATTCACCAGTTATTTGTGGAATATCGTTAGGTGTTGGTGGTAATATTATGTTGATTGTGGGGCTTTTATATTCTGGAGATTCACCTGAAGGGGTTGACCATTCGTTAAGTGGACTATATAATGCTGGACTATATAATGTTGGACTATTGAATTGAGGTGAAAAATATTCTGTACTATTACATTGAGGAGAATCTATTGGTGATAGATATGGTGGGGGTGTAACAACCTGTGGATGGATATTAATGTCGGTAATTTCGACACTAGTATCAATGCTAATAGGAGTTGGTGTATTTGGGGTATTACTATTAAAAGCTGTTTTAATAGTATGCATATCATCATCAGCTTCCTTTTGAGTTGGTGTATTTATTAAATCTATATTATTATCATTATTATCTGGTATTTCGATGGAAAGTTTTTTATATTCATTTTCAATATCTTTAATCTCGGGTATATTATTATTACTATTGTTATAAATATTATTAATATCATTATTGTTGGTGTTGTTATTTTCAATATTATTTTTTTTCATGTAGTTTATTGGTTTTGGTGGTACTGGTGGTGGTGGATTTTTAGGTAGTTTATCTAAATTTGGTGGGCTATTTACAAAATTTCTTGGTGGCACTGGTGGTGGTGTTTTTTTTACAGGTGGTGGTGTTGTTATATTAGTTGTAGATGATACAGATGATATTGGTGATGTGGTTACATTTTTTTTAAAATTATTATTTATAGTTGAAATGGGAGTTGCTGAGGTAGGGGAGGTATTTTTATTAAATGTCCTTGGTAATGGTGATGAGGGTGCGGGTGATGAAGTTGATGCTGAAAATGAAACATTTTCATCACATTGGTTTTTTTTATTTTTATTTATATTCAAAATTAAATTTGACTTTTCTTCAGCTGTTGTGAAAAAAAAAATTGTTAGTTTTATAAAAAATAAGAAAAATAATATTAATTTTTTAATTACCTTTTTTTTGTTGCTGGAGTTTTTGTTGTATAATAAATATATTATCTGTTTTATTCATTTTATTGGTATGTTATTTAAAATTGAAAAAAAAAAAAATGAAAAAAAAAAAAAAATGAAAAAAGAATTTTAATCTTTGAAAAATTATATTTTAATTAATTATTAATATTAATAAATTAAAATTAAGGTTAAAAATAAAACAAATTATTAAATTAATGAATAAACAAATGAGATATATATATATATAATTAATTGTATATTATATATGCTATATATCAATGGTTTTTTTTTTTATTTTTTTTTATTCCCACTAGTTATTATTTTTATATTTATTTTTATTATTGTTAAAATAATTATTTATTTTTTATTTATCTCTATATTATAATGATGTTATTATAATAATAAAACAATAGTATAATAAAGTTTGTGTGATTGTTTTTTTTTTTTTTTCCGATTATAATTTAAAAAAAAAATAAAAAAATAAAATAAATAAATAATAAAAAAAGGATTTATATATTTTGAGACTGAAAGAAAGGAGTGGTAATATTTATTATTATTAAATTGTTTTTGAAATAATATGTAAAATATAAACTTTATTGTTTTTATATTATTATTATTTTTAAATATATTGAATAACAAAAATAATTTTTATATAAACTATTCATATAAATGAATCTAATTTTGGTAACATTAATATATTTTAGTAAGTATAAAAATAATTGATATGTGGTTATTAGCTGTAGTTAACCCTATTATAATAATAATAACAAAAAAAAAATTAAATTAGAGTGAATTATATTTAAATAATTTAAAATGAAATATAAAAAAGTGTGTTTTTAAAGTGAATTAGTGTGGTTGTTATTGTAGTTGTTGTTATTGGAATATATGTAAAAGTGAGTAGGTGGGGGTGTAAGTGTGTTCATGCAGTCAGTAGTTTGGCATATATATTATATAATTGTATGTTTAAATAGTGTGGGTTTTTCAAAATACATCTAAAATTTTAACACAATTATGTGAATGTATAAAATTAAATCTGTGTATACAGTAATTTATAAAAAAAAATTTTTGTTTTTTTTTTTTAGGAGTGTGTTAAAACTATGTGTGTTAAAACTATGTGTGTGTTAATTCCATTTATGTGCATGGGTCAAAGGGACACACATAGTTGATTGAAAGGAATTTTTTTTAAGAAAAAAATTTTAAAAAAAATTAAAAAGAAAATGAATTAAAAAAAAATAAAAAAAAAATAACACACACTTACTATAATAATAACTATTTTAGTTTATATTACTTTGTGTGAGTGTATAAACATTTGATGATGAACCAAGATTTAGATTTCTGTTGTGATATAAAAAAATTTATCATCCATAATTGATTAAACAAACAAAAAAAGTAAAAATATTTATAATTATTTTCTTAAAAATAAAAAATTGGGTGAATTAAAAAATAAATAAAAAAAATAAACATCTTATATTTATAAAAAAAAAAAAAACAATAGAGTGGTTGAACTTTGCGATTGTGATTTAGGCTGATTAAAAAATAAAACTTTATATAGTTTATATGTATTAATATTAATACATATACTTAGGTTAAGAAATTTTCTCCACATAAATAAATAAATAAATTTAAAAATTTTCTATTCTTTTTTATTAATATTATTTTTTTTTTTTTTTATTGTTATTATATTTTTATTTTTAATGACTATTGTTTACGTCTAATATCCAATAATACAATATTGATTTGTATTATTGTTTGATGTAGCACAATCAGAAATGAAAAAAACTCATACTATGAACAGTATGGATTTTAAATATTGTTTTATAAACAATGGTATAATCAGTTAAATTTATAAAATGCATTTTTTTTTTTTTTGTAAAATTTACAAAAAAAATATTTTCTTGTGTGAAAAATTTTGCAATTTTAAATAAATATAAATAATAATATTTAAAAGTTTTTTTTTTTAATTTTTAAAAGGGGTTTAAAATGTAATATGATCCAAGTACCGAAAACCATTCGCAACGAAGCACGGAGTCCAGTGTTTTACCATACACATAACACATTGTTCTTGGATACAGGAACGACTATTATCTCACTTGAAATTAATAATGTATTTGGGTATCCATTTAATTGTTCGAATTGTATGAGTAAAATATTATTCTCATATGCTTTCATTGCACTACCAACCGACTTATGGGAATTTAAAAAAAATTTTACGAAAAAAAAAAAAAAAATTAAAAAAAAAATTTTGATAAAAAAAACGAAAAAATTATTATAAACGTTTGATCATTTTTTAATTTTATCAAAATTATGAAATAATATAACAAATAGATTTATTGAAAAAATAATTATCTGTAATAAAATTATTTTCAAATATAAAATTGTTTGAAAATTCTATTTATATAAAATTTATATTTGTATAAAATTTTAAAAATAAACAATTATTATTTTTATTTATTTATTCAAAAGCTATATTTAATTATTTCTTTTTTCTTTTTTTATTTTTTTAATTTTCTATTTTAATTTTTAATTTTTTTGTTACGATCAAAAAAACACAAAATAAAAAATAAAAAATTTAAATTTAGAATTAAAGTAAAAAAAATAATCCATAACATCATCAAGCACCAATAAAACCAAAGACTAAATTTAAAAAATGGGTTTTACTTTATTTAGGTACATTTATCCAATAAATTATTTCAAAGTTGCACTTAAAATTAGAAACACTTTAAATATAGAAAAAAAAATTAATATAATTTATTAATTACTTTAAAATTTTAGGAGGTATTTTTTAAAAAATTTAAAAATAATATTTTAATTTCACAGACTATTAATAGTACCTAAATATAACACTTTTATCTTGTGTAATTGTTTTCAAAAATAGAAAAAAAGACAAACAAATGGAATAAATTTGCTCTATTGGGGGCACTAAAAATACATGCGGGTATTAACAAAATTAATTTTAGGGATTTTTTGTTTAAGTGTGGGTTGTGTGTGGGTTGTGTGTGTATGTGTATTTTAATGTGTGTGTAATGTGTATTGTGTTTTTATTAAAAAAAAAAAAAATAAAAAAATAAAAAAAGTGAAAATCAATTTTCGCACTATAGATCTAGCACACCTATTATTAAAAGCACACTTTTAATGTAAGTTTTGTTTTTTTATTTTTTTGTTTATTTTTATTTTCACTATTAATCTATGTCAGATTTCAATCAGTATAAAACGTTGTTTAAAAAAAAAAAAAAAAAATCATTCAATCAAATAAAATCTTATTTAAACAAATAAAACAAATATTTATTAATAAATAATTATAAATATAAATACATTTTTTATTATTTTTTTTCATTAAACTCAATCATATACAATATATTATAAAAATGGTTACTCAAAATCAAAATATTAAATCAGTTAGAGTTATTTGCAATGATATTGCTTATTTCAACAATGGTGTCGGAATTGCTCCATTTAGAAATAATAATAATAACAATAATAACAATAATAACAATAATAATAATGCTAATAATAATCAAAATAGAAACCCCTCATCAAGCGCCAACTCCTCCATTGCTGAAAGAAACAATAAAAAAAATAGACTCGTCAGAAGTTTTTCAAAATTATTTAATAGTACTCCTGTTAAAGCCGATAAAGATAAACTTGTTGTCTATTGTTTTGTTCCATTGTTTTAAAATTTTTTTTTTAAAAAAAAAGTACGAACAAGTAAAGCTTTTTTAAAATCCACGCTCAATAGTAGAAATACTAATAATAGAATTAAATAATAATAATATTTAATACGCATGCATATAACACATATTTTTTTATTTAAAAAAATTTATATAACAATTTTTAAATTTAAAAAAAATATTTAATAAATTAAAATTATATAGTAAATTATATAATTATTTTTTGTACAACGGTTGTACAATATATATACACATAAAACTTTTTATTTTTTTTATTTTTTTATTTACTTTTTTTTTTATTTTATTATTTTTTATTAAATGTATTGAAATAACGAAAAGAAATGATCTTCAAACACACCACAAAAAAAAAAAACAAAAAAATCACAGGGTTTAAAATCAAAAAAAATAATATAACAAAATTTAATTAATATAATATTAAATTAAAAAAAAATACGATAATAAATATATTAAATTAAAAAAATATGATTATAAATTAAATAATAAAAAAATAAAAAAATAAAATTTTTATAATATTAAATAAAAAAAAAGTATTCGATTATGTAAATAAATATCTTTTTTTTTAACTATTTTCTTTTTTTTTTTCTTTTCTTTTTTTTTTTTCAATAAATTAAATTAATTTTTATTTTAATTTTTTTAATAATTTTTTACAAATTTTTTTATTATACACCGCCCTCGGCAAAAATATATTAATAAATAAAAAATAAATAAATAATTAAAAATAAATATAAATAAATAAATAAACAAATATATAAAAATAACAGTTTGTTTAATTTAATAAATTCAAAACATGGTTATCCCAAATCAAATTGTATCACCAAATAAAATAAATATATTATCAGATTATCCAAATATAAATAATAATATAAGGAATCATCACCGTCGTCGTCATCGTAATAATTTAAATATAAATATAAATAATAATATATATATAAATAATAATAATAATTTAAATAATACTATAAATAATAACGATCTTTTAAACAATAATGATAATAATAAATTATTTTTAAAAATTAAAAAGTTCTTTTCAAATAGCCAATGCACACCAAAAATTGTAATCTATGAATTTGTTCCATATCAATAAAAGGATAGTATGTGTTTACAAGTGGTTCTCCTCTTTACGTGTTTCTCTTTCGCTGTGCGATAAAAAATAAATTGTAATTTTAAAAAACTATAAAACAAAAACACACTTTAATCATTTTGTATTTATAAATCTACCCATAAACTTTTTTTAT